CTAATAAAACAATAAACCGCGGTAATATTGTGTGTTAATCTGCATGTAATCATTTACTACCTATACAATTCAATTCAAGCAATGTTGTCAGATGTTCCCGCCCACTTAATATTTCTATTAGATGTTATAAATTAACTGTAACTAAATAAAGAAAATGTTCAATATTCTATCAGGCACAAACGTAATTACAAAATATGATGAATTTAGAAAGTAATGAAATATAAAAATGACTATTACTCGGCTATTACTACCGACAAATTTGTCTTAACCATATGGTTGAATATGCAATAAATCAAATTTATATATACCTATAGGTATCTGCAAAGTCACGGAACATACACTTAATTGATTCTAAAGTCACGACTAACAATATTGTTTTTTGTCGGGTGGTTAATAATGCGCCGATTGTACTCGCAATTGTTAATAATTAAAAAAAATCATTTCTTCCGCTGCGAACAATCTTTCCTTCCCCTGTAGGTATATATTTTCATTTCCTTTCGCTAATCAAGTAAGAAATGTTCCATTTCCTCCAGCTTCCGTGACGACGCTACAGTGTGATTGAATGTAAACGTCAGATTTATATAATTTTGAGACATTTTTTTTTTCGGGTACCCAAATTGTGTATTTTTAAGCGAAAGTAAGCATGTATACAGTTTAGCTTAAATAACTTGAAGTAGGTAAGCCTACTAACTTAATTTTTCTTACTACCTCGACTCAAAATACGTTGTTTCGTCCCCGATTCCACGGCAGAAAGTTTACGTTTTATGCATTGGTCAAGCTATACGAGCACACTCTATTAGCGGGAGTAAAAATTTTTTAGTCGTGTGCTTAACATTCAAATTTCGTACTGCCAACATGAGAAACACAAAAATATGACAGTTTTAAACCATAATTTTGCAATTATAACAACAAATAAACAATTTATGTTTTTACTTTTTTACTTTTTATGTTGTTTTAAGTGTTTAATGGTACTTTTATTTGTTATAAAGTAGTAATTTGTTAATTAAAATACAACCTTTTATTTTTACTGTATTGGCACCGCTGAATTCACGGCCTACTGTTATTTATTTATCAAGCTCTTCAAATGGAGATAGATACATAAATACACATTTAATTTTTTCCCGTATTTTCGGCCGGGTTGTATTTTCGGCCGAGGTAGTAAGAAAAATAGTATATCTACACTACACGGGCAGAAAGTGTGAGAGCCCTGAACTGTGCAGTAATCTCACACTTTCTGCTTTTGTAGTGTAATATACTTTTTCTTACTACCTCGACTCAAAATATGTTGTTTCGTCCCCGATTCCACGGTAGAAAGTTTACGTTTTATGCATTGGTCAAGCTATACGCGCACACTCTAATAGAGGGAGTAAAAATTTTTTAGTCGTGTGCTTAACATTCAAATTTCGAACTGCCAACATGAAAAACACAAAAATATGACAGTTTTAAACCATAATTTTGCAATTATAACAACAAATAAACAATTTATGTTTTTACTTTTTTACTTTTTATGTTGTTTTAAGTGTTTAATGGTACTTTTATTTGTTATAAAGTAGTAATTTGTTAAATAAAATACAACCTTTTATTTTTACTGTATTGGCACCGCTGAATTCACGGCCTACTGTTATTTATTTATCAAGCTCTTCAAATGGAGATAGATACATAAATACACATTTAATTTTTTCCCGTATTTTCGGCCGGGTTGTATTTTCGGCCGAGGTAGTAAGAAAAATAGTATACACTATACGGGCAGAAAGTGTGAGAGCCCTGAACTGCGCGCGCAGTGCAGGAATCTCACACTTTCTGCCCTTGTAGTGTAATATATACTATTAACGACTATAGGAATGTTTGGGCCAGAAATTTCCTGAACATAAAAAAGTCAATTTTTAATAATGATGCTAAAAACGGTGAAGTAGGCTTATAAAAACACCAGAAATATGTGGACATATACAGATCTGTGAGTTTTTATGTTGACACACGCGGGTTTGACAAATGTCGGTAAGTTTAACTAATTAATACTTATTGTCTGGTTTATTTTGTTTAAACAAATCGCTTAACTTTAAAACATTACAGTTAAAGGAAGATTAACTTTTTGACATAGGTACACTATGAGTGGGCCAGATGCAGGCAAGTTCAAGGTTGTATACCTACCATTTAAATTTTATGGATTTCTTTGCGAATTCACAAAAAAAAATAATGAGTTACTTATTAGTAAATCATTATTTTTTTTCACCATATATGGTTCACTATAGTGAACGCAAAAGTTAACATATCACATGGATATTTCACCAGAGATATATCAAGATCTACAATATAGAAAAAGTACACTGAACTACACGTTTTTGTTGATCCTCTTAAACTCCAAGTTTTATTATCGAATAAAAAAACTTTTGCCAAATTTAGCCTATCCAAAACGCAAGATTTTCTGTGTAGTCTTTTAAATGTAAAAATTGCCATTTGATTCAAAATAAAGCTCCATTCGGGTATTAGTTGAAAGGATATAAGTAAGGCCTAGATTGTAAAAGACTTTTTAAATATGTGATCTGTCATTTTGAAAGTTTTGACGTTATTTTCGAAATGTCATATTTAAGGCAATTTTATTGATTTTTAAATTTTTTTTCGTTTGAGCTATGGTGCCTATAAATTGGTAGAGTAATTTTAAAATACCCCTTAAACAAGAAACATGTATTATTAAAAATCAAAAAAGTTGAGTTTGTTTTAATATAAAAAAATATATATACAGTGTGACCTATTTGTTTGCGACTCACCCCTGTAAAATCTTTATTGTGCGATTTTAACCGGATTTGTTTTATGAATGAAAAATATAAGTAAAATACTTAATTCCGAATTATAATCTCAAATTTGTATCCCATTCATCAGTACCGTGTCGTCAGTTCCATGTTCGATGTTTGACGGTGAGGATCACCTGATGTTCTTACATCTCGCCTCTGTTGGCTTACCAACCGAGCATATAAGCTCAGGGAGTCCGTTGTTTTGAGTGTGTTCCACCACACCAAGTTGCCCGACACTGATGAGACCCAATATAGGTATTTGAAGTTGGTGGAACCCACTAAAAACAAAAAACTTTGGCGAGGTGTAGGTTCAATTTTTTCTTATGAATATTACCAGTAATGGGTCAAGAAAGAAACTAAGAAAATTGAATGCTTAACAGTATATTTATTATATTATCTATGTTCTGATAAAAAAATTCTGTTTAATTTTCTCCGAAAACTATATAAACAAAATGAGGTCAAAAGTTGCCCAACTTTTGTAGAATCACCCATATATCAGTTACTTAAAGTGTAATTTTGAAACTTTTATATACATTGTAGTAACTGCCGTTACTACCGAGTTTACAGATGAAACTTTTGATAGGCATCTAACCGCTCAAAACTAGTGTTGCCAGGTCCGCCATTTTGCCTGCAGTATTATAATACTTATATACTTATATAACTTATACTTAAGTTTAGTGAAATAAATTGCGTTAAAACCATTATAGTGGTTATTAGGGTGAGCCAAAAAAACTAACCTATCGGATTTATGGGTTAAAATGAACCTACATACCGAGCAAAAAATTTCCCTGCAAGGCAAAATTTTTTGCTCAATTTAAAAGGTGTCGGTGAGCATTCTAAGTTTTCCATTGAAATAACACGTAAAAAAATCTTTTTTCATTAAAAAGACTATAACTTTTGAACCGTTTGAGATAAAATTTTTTACGTCGCGGATTCTTGTAGAGCATAAAATTTCCCAAAGAATCTATATCAGGATTATTCCGCGACGTAAAAATTTTTATCTCAAACCGTACGGTTCAAAAGTTATAGTCTTTTTAATGAAAAAAGATTTTTTACGTGTTATTTCAATGAAAAACTTAGAATGCTCACCGACACCTTTTAAAATTGAGCAAAAAATTTTGCCTTGCAGGGAAATTTTTTGCTCGGTATGTAGGTTCATTTTAACCCATAAATCCGATAGGTTAGTTTTTTTTGGCTCACCCTAGTGGTTATATATATAACCACTATAATGGTTTTAACGCAATTTATTTCACTAAACATTCGATTTAATCCACTTTTAAAAATGTTTTGTTATAAATATTATATTAATTATAGATTAAATGCTGAATATTTTCAATATTATCAACTCACAATTTTTATTTAAAAAAATACAGACACAATAGTTTTATAAAACTGGTAACAGCAAACTTTATAAAACTCTTTTATAAACCCACTGGTAAAGGTTACTATAGGTTATATATGTTCGTAAACAATTATATATACGTCGCGGATTCTTGTAGAGCATAAAATTTCCCAAAGAATCTATATCAGGATTATTCCGCGACGTAAAAATTTTTATCTCAAACCGTACGGTTCAAAAGTTATAGTCTTTTTAATGAAAAAAGATTTTTTACGTGTTATTTCAATGGAAAACTTAGAATGCTCACCGACACCTTTTAAAATTGAGCAAAAAATTTTGCCTTGCAGGGAAATTTTTTGCTCGGTATGTAGGTTCATTTTAACCCATAAATCCGATAGGTTAGTTTTTTTTGGCTCACCCTAGTGGTTATATATATAACCACTATAATGGTTTTAACGCAATTTATTTCACTAAACATTCGATTTAATCCACTTTTAAAAATGTTTTGTTATAAATATTATATTAATTATAGATTAAATGCTGAATATTTTCAATATTATCAACTCACAATTTTTATTTAAAAAAATACAGACACAATAGTTTTATAAAACTGGTAACAGCAAACTTTATAAAACTCTTTTATAAACCCACTGGTAAAGGTTACTATAGGTTATATATGTTCGTAAACAATTATATAACCTAACCTAATTATATACCTAGAGTTTACAGTAACCTTATATGCCCATTATAAAACTAGTAAATTAAATGTTGATTTTATAAAACCTTGTTATACTGTTTTACAACTCTTATATAACCGTTATATAATTTATCGTTACCATAAGTAGTACAAATTGTTTATTGGCTATTTCCAGGGTACGTGGATATCGCCGAAGGTGACGAGAAAGGTCTGGAGATCGCGGTGGCCACGATCGGCCCGGTGGCCGTCGCGATCTCGTGCCGCCAAACCCTCCAGTTCTACTCGGAGGGCGTCTACTTCGATCCAGAGTGCGGAAACCAACTGAAAGACCTGAACCACGCTGTGCTGGTCGTGGGATTCGGCACCGAACCCGACGGCAAAAAGTACTGGCTGGTCAAGAACTCCTACGGAGAAAAGTGGGGACAGGGCGGATACGTCAAGATGGCCAAGGACCAAAACAATCATTGCGGAATAGCCAGTGCAGCCAGCTATCCTCTTGTATAAACATGTGAATAAATTAGTTTACGAATAGAACTGTTATTTTAATTTTGGACAGCTAAAAAATCGATGGGGACGCCACGAAAATTCAGACTATACGCCATGGCGTAAGAAATGAGTGGCTGTGCATAAGAGTAAATAAACTGCAGTTCTGTTTCCCTATGGAAAAATAACCAGTTTACTATGCGCAATAGCGAGTTAGGTACGTTAACAATTGCAGACTGCAACTTGCAGTAAATTAATATTTCAAAGTTATTACAAAAAAATATATCATCCGTGCACTAACTAAACGTGTGTTAAGTTTTAAACGGCTTTAAATTTTGAGTAAGTAATTAAGGTTTCAGTTTTCAAGTTTTTTAATAAATAATTCAATTATCAAACAATTTCTTACTTTTCGAAGATTGTTATTCCCTCGTTAATTTTGAAGTAAACTGTTCGTCTTAAAAATCGACGCACCTAGTTTTTTGAAAAATATTTGAAAGCTCGTTATTGGAAAATTACTGAATCGATTTTGAAAATCTTTGCAAATTCTAAATAGCTGGTTCTTTGAGTCTTATGTCTAATTGTGGAAATACGATATTTTGCTCATAGCATTATACTACAGGGTGTTAAACGAAGAGATGTATTTTTTTCGAAATTTCAAGTTATTCCCATTCATGAGGCAGTTGAGTTTGATAGTCGTAATACCCCTCCCTAATATTACTAAGGTAATCCCTCGAAACGTTTTCAAGATTTTGTGAATATCGCGGCTTACTACGATTATATGCCAATTTATCGAAAATGTCGTTATTTTTCAGTTTAGTCCAAAAAATGAGCAATAGTGGATTCTTTGACTTACGTCTAATTTTGAGAATACAATATTTTGCACATAGCATTATACTACAGGGTGTTAAAAAAAGAGATGTTTTTTTCCAAAATCCAAATCCCCATTCACAGGGCAGTTGAGTTTGATAGTCGTAATACCCCTTCCTAATAACAGTTGGGTAATCCCTCATGACGTTTTCGAGATTTTGTGGATATCTTGGCTAACTACGATTATATACCAATTTTTTGAAAATTGTCGTTATCCCCCAGTTGTCCAAAAAATGAGCAATAGTAGATTCTTTTACTTACCTCTAATTTTGGGAATACGATATTGTGCAAATAGCATTATACTACAGGGTGTTAAAAAGAAGAGATTTTTTTCCAAAATTCCAAATCACCATTCACAAGGCAGTTGAGCTTGATAGTCATAATACCCATTCCTAATAACAGGTAATCCCTCGGGACATTTTAGAGATTTTGTGGATATATTGGCTAACTACGATTATATACCAATTTTTCGAAAATTGTCGTTATCCCCCAGTTGTTCAAAAAATAAGCAATAGTAGATTCTTTTACTTACGCCTAATTTTGGGAATACGATATTGTGCACATAGCATTATACTACAGGGTGTTAAAAAGAAAAGCTGTTTTTTCCAAAATTCAAATTGGGGAAACGATGTGTTGATAACTAATCGATACCTTTCGTAGTTTGCTCATTTTTGGGAATTAAGTGGAGAATAACGACAATTTTCTAAAAATTGCATATAATCGTAGTAAGCCAAGATATCCACAAAATTTTGAAAATGACTCGAGGGATTACCTAACTGTTATTAGGACTATCAAGCTCAACTGCCCTGTGAATGGGGATTTGGAATTTGGAAAAAAACCTTTTTTTAACACCCTGTAGTATAATGCTATGTGCACAATATAGTATTCTCAAAATTAGACGTGTCAAAGAATCCACTATTGCTCATTTTTTGGACTAAACTGGGAAATATCGACATTTTCGATAAATTGGCATATAATCGTAGTAAGCCGCGATATTCACAAAATCTTGAAAACGTTTCGAGGGATTACCTTAGTAATATTAGGGAGGGGTTTTACGACTATCAAACTCAACTGCCTCATGAATGGGAATAACTTGAAATTTCTAAAAAAATACATCTCTTCGTTTAACACCCTGTAGTATAATGCTATGAGCAAAATATCGTATTTCCAAAATTAGACATAAGACTCAAAGAACCAGCTATTTAGAATTTGCAAAGATTTTCAAAATCGATTCAGTAATTTTCCAATAACGAGCTTTCAAATATTTTTCAAAAAACTAGGTGCGTCGACTTTTATGACGAGCAGTTTATTATAAATTTACATTTGCAGTTCTATATTATTTTTTGTTCATTTTTACAGATCTTTAACACATTTTTAATTTTTTTTAAATATTTTTTTATTATAATTAAAAAATTTAAATACAAAATACAAATATAACGTGTTTTATTTACCAAATTTTCAAATATTCTCCAAAAAAATAATAGATTTTAATGTAAACGAGCAAAAGCTTTTTTAGTAATATTCTTTCAAATATAATATTTACCAATATCGTGTCATTGGTAAATTTTTCAAAAAGCTAATATTTGTCCAAATAAATATGGGTGATTCTACAAATGTTGGACAACTTGATGTCATCAGTCAATAAAGTAGGTATTTTAATATTTTTTGTAAATATTTTAGTATATTACAAAAGATCCATGTTTTTATAACTCGTCCACCCAATTTTAATGTATTTTTTCAAAAGCATTTTTGTAGACAAACATCAGTACCTTGGCGTGTCACAACTCCTGAATCAAATATTTGAGTGATTTTATTTTAAAATATATTCAATTTATCTTAAATCTTTCAATTTCACTACAAACTATAAAACATTAAATAATGTATTTTTCATATTTTATCATAGATTCGAATAATTCAATTTTTAAAAAATTGATAATCTTTGTAGGTACTCACTTTTACCCGTCAGTTCTATGTCCAACGTTAAAATTCAAATTTCCTGCGAAATATTGAAGTTTAAACGTCAAGTCTTCGTTTTAACTCAAGTGTTGGTAAAAAATTACCTACAGAGCCCGCCCTTTGCACGACAGTCATCTTGAAAACAATGCAAGCGGCGAAGTTGTGGTGAATGCACGTATAGTTCCAGTCAACGGTCACGGTGTGATATTTGCAAACTTTGCGCATGCGTATGAGCCCTGCGAACTGCGAATTTAAAACCTACCCGGACAACATTCGTGATATTCATACGAACATCACGTCGTGATTTTCACAAATTTTATTCATACTCAAATCATATGGAAGTCACCGCGTAATTGATAAAAATCATACGATCGTCACGTCGTGATTTTCGCAAATTTTGTTCATACGGACATCATCCGGATGTCACTGCGTGAGAAATGAAAATCATGTCGTGATTTTTTATGCCATCGCTGTTTGCGATTGACCGATGGCACAAAAAATCATGTCGTGATTTTTTTTGCCAACGGTGTTTGGATAATCATTTTTGCGCCACATTCGTACACGAGATAAAGATTATGTTGAATCAACAGTTTTTGCGGTTATATACATTTAATATTTTCTTGGATTCAAATTAACTACATATATATAATTAATTTAAATCCAAGAAAATATTGAATGTTAAACTGTTGATTCAATTGTTAACATACTTTTTCTTTCAATATAGGAATGTGTCGCAAAATTGAATATCCAAACAATGATGGCATAAAAATTCATGTCGTGATTTTTTATGCCCAAACACCGACAGCATAAAAAATCATGTCGTGATTTTTAATGCCATCGGTGTTTGGATATTTATTTTTGCGCCACATTCATACATTGAGAGAAAAAGTATACCTACATACAGGGTGTTTCAAAAAACATGCGCTCTCCAGCCGAGCGTTGGCGCATGTTTTTTGAAACACCCTGTATATATTGAATCAATAGTTTTTGTGGTTAAATACATTCAATATTTTCTTGGATTTAAATTAACTATATATAGTTAATATAGAAAATATTAAATGTATTTAACCGCAAAAACTGTTGATTCAACATAATTTTTCTCTTAGTGTACGAACGTGGCGCAAAAATGATTATCCAAACACCGTTGGCGTAAAAAATCACGACATGATTTTTTAGGCCATCGGTCAATCGCAAACAGCAATGGCATAAAAAATCACGACATCATTTTCATTTCTCACGCAGTGACATCCGGATGATGTCCGTATGAATAAAATTTGTGAAAATCACGACGTGACGTTCGTATGATTTTCATTTATCACGCGGTGACTTCCGTATGATATCATTATGAATAAAATTTGTGAAAATCACGACATGATGTTCGTATGAATATCACGAATGTTGTCCGGGAAAATACTGTTTAATTTTCTCCGAAAACAAAATGAGATCAAAAGTTTCCCAACTTTTGTAGAAACCCATATAGTAAATTTGTCATCTTTTTTCCATGCCCAAACATTCCCAAAATTAAACCAACCTACCTAACTTAATCCAAACTGCTTTTGCATATTATTGGGCACAATTTGGTCATTTATTGTTAGCCATCGCGATTGCACAAAAATGATAGGAATATTAAGTCCTATATTGTACATTTTTTGGCTCTCTCAGAGGGATTATCCATTTATTTTGAAAATCAAATGAAATTTGTATTTCATACAAATAAATTATTTCAATCCGTCCCTGGATTAGTAAAACTGACAACACAGCATTTCGATGAAACTGTGATTCATAATACAACATGACCGTGACTCATAAAAGATTATTTTTCACGGGTTTATTTGTTTTAAATAATTTTTAATATTGAATAAAGATAAACGCATTCTAAAAATATTCCTACATTTGTTAAACAGACACCATTATAGAACAATCTCCAACGTAAAATTGTAAGTATGTGTTTTTTTAAAGCCTACCTATGAAACTAAACCAAATTTGTTGTAAACAGCTACCTATTTGTTTAAACATTTTTAACGTATAATAGATTTGTTGATGTTTGTAGTGTTTTAGATACTTACAAAATGTCTTCCTTATCAGATGAACAACAATGGGAAGAGTTTAAGGTAAATTTCATTAAAAATAAATTATTATTTATTATTTTAAATAATAAACAACATTTAATAAATTATTTTAGAACCGATGCTATAGCATTGGACCTATACTATAGGTGATCTTTTGTCTTTAGTCTTCAGTCTTTTTGCTCTAGATCTGTATTTGTTTACATGTTTTTTTATTGGTCAATCCATAAATGCCTTCTCTATAATATATAGGCATTGACTTCTTCACTCAACGATACAGGCATAGGTATATTTGTTATATGTATAGGTATTGGTAATATTTTATTGTTTTATAATTTTAAGTAACAAAAATAACAAGAATCGTACCTGCGCTTCTTCTGTAATTTCAGGCGTGATTTACATTGTTATGCATTATTATTCATATTAATAAAAAATAACAAAAAAATTGCAACTAAAACTACTAAAGTTTGTATTTCACATTCACGTTTTGACAGTTGACATATGTTGCGTCATTTTATTTCACAGCACACTGCGGATGGCGCGAAGTTGTGTGAATAGGGTTGCCAGGCCTTCTATATTTAATGTAAATTAGACGTCTTCTATATTTAACAAAAATCATCTTCTATGGCCCTAAAATCTTTTATATTTCAGCGTTTTGGAATAAAAAAGTATAGTTGCAATGTTTATCTTATTGTATTTATTGAGTTGGGTTTAAAATATAAACATTAATGAATACTATTTTAGTCTTTTTATTTTAATTTAATATATTTATTTTTGATAAATCTGCAAATATTCATAATGCAATAAATTATTTGTTTAAATCTTCTAAATATTTTTTAATACTTTTACGTATGTATTTTGTTTAGTTAACTCTTCTATTTATGGCATTTTGATTTCTGGCAACCACTGGTGAATTATGAAAAAATGTATAGTACCTACCTATAAAATAATACCACTAAATATTTACCTACTTACTTTATTTATTAATAAATTTTTAAATATTATTACTTACTGATATAAAAATATACTATTTTTAAAAACCTATTTTTTTTAGAAAACTCACAATAAAAATTATGATGGAGGAGAAGAAGAATCAAAGAGATTTAAAATCTTCCAAGGTACCCTGAGAAAAATTGAAGAGCACCAAGCAAAGTATGATAAAGGAGAAACAACATTTACCATGGGTGTGAACCATTTTGCCGATTTAACACCTGAAGAAATGAAATCAAGATGTGGCTTGAAACCACAACCAAAGAAGGATTAGTTGAATTTATATATATTTGTACAGATTTAATAAAGAACACCAGTTAAAATAAACAACATTTATTAACTACCATAGTATGAAATAATTTAAATTAATTTAAATCTGCGATCTTTATAGGCAACCTCTCCGTTTCTAAATCTTGCTTCTTGTTCAGCCCTACTTTTGTACACCAAATATCCAAAACCGCCCATTGGGATAACCAGCAAAAAAAGCCCTTGTAAACCATTTTTTATACTCGGTTTAAAATAATCAAAACCGTTTACTTTCATGGCCGAATACCTTTGAATGGCGGAGTCAAACTAAAAAGTACAATTTTATGCATTTAAAAAGGGGGTTTCGAATATTTAAAAAAATATTTTTAGGTTAGGTGTGACATAACAAGGGACAAAACACGAAAATACCACTTACCACGGCACCCCCTTCACCCGTGGCATGTCTGAAGGGGTCGGACTTAAGTTTCAAGTATTCATTTCTCAAAGCAGCCCTCCTTTGGGTCTTTTCTGCCAAGATTTTTTGTTCTTCAAGGGAAAGATCCACTTGCTGCGACATTTTTTTGACAGATTGTCAATAAAATTTTCCATGGAGTACAACGTAAAAATATAAAAAACACTAGATTTATAATTTTTATGTAGAAAAGAAAGTATAAAGTGTGCACTTCAAAATTTGAGTTAAGTTGTTGCTGCGAACTTTTTTAATTTTATTGGGAACCAACTCTTGTTCGTAAAGATAAATTAAGTATACTTTAAGTTGTACACCTAATACGTTTTAAATATATTATAAGCCGCTCATAATGAGCATAAAACCGGTATTAGTGTAATAACGTAGGGGTTTGCGAACAGACCTAATTTCGTAACCAAAACTTATAACTAACTTTCATTTGTTTTTAAGTTGGTATTAACTATTTTTGAAAAGTTGTGATAGATTTTTAGATTGAGCAGTTTTGCGTATTAATAAATGCAAACACTAAGAAAAAGTTCCACATTTAAGTATTTTAGTGCCACATTTTTATGTACAAGGTAAACGGTTGTAAATCATCAAACTACCATGTATTTCATAACTTGTTATAGTGCAGGATGGATCTACTATCAAGTCCAAAAAACTCGGTTTATTTTAAACAATGCACTGGATACGAGCGTTTTAAAAGCGATGGAAACATCGTGCCTCGACGAAGAAAAAAGCAGCGAGGAATTTTTAGAGCTACAAATGCTTAAAACCAAGGATAAACAAGATAATCTTTCGACAACATGGAACTCCTTGAAATTCACCTATTGCAGACGTCTTTTAAGCCTTACTTTCAATGATAATCCTGTAATACGAAATAAGGCAATAAAGAAGTTGGCAAATGTTAAAAAATTGGACGATTGGCATTGCTCTTTGTTGGCTAATATGATGGATGCTAGAACGGCAGTAGCTTTGGCCAGAACCAAAGGAGTTGACAGCAGGCTGTTTATGAGGCCTCAGATAAATTATGTCCATTTTAATAAGCGAATGTTGGTTAATGAGCTAAAAGAACTTTTGATAGGATTGGAGCAAAAATCACGGCATGTTTGCATGCAATATTTTATATCAAAAGTTTTTATTGATGAACAGGTAGGTACAGTTCATTTTTTTTATTTGGACTCCTGTTTATTTATTAAGTTGGTAGCTTATGCCAGTTTGATTTAGTATTTTGAGTATTTAAAAATTGTACTTTTGAAACCCTTAATTATATACTCTGACACTGTCAAATTGACAGTAATATTTATTATTGATAATTTACTTTATTAATTTATATACCTATATATAATTATTATATAATATCGATATAAAAACATAACTATTAAGTAAAAGAACTTTTAAGGGCAAAACTTCATTTCTGTTATAACTGGTTCAACCTTTTTGTGAAAAATCTAGTAGTTCACTTTCCTGTCTTTAAAAATATATTTTCAAAGACATTATAGCATCCATTTGGTTTGAAAAACATAAGCAATAATCACGAAACTTTTTCTTCTTTCAATTTGCGAGTTACTGATCATTAAGTAGGTGTTTTCGCGGTGCTAATCCCGAACTAGGCATGTGCATTTTAATATTTGTCAAGCGCACTTTACATTTTTAACCCCAAATTTTAAAAAGCGCATGCCTAGAATGCCCGGAATTAGTTTGGGATTAGTCCTGTACAATATATACATTATAATTATTATTAAGCCGCTACAAGATTAACCTCCAGTGGCTTTAACAAAATACCCATTCACCATTGGAGTCCAGTGATTGGACAACATTCACGTGTGTTCACATAAAATTTTAATTTGTTTTATATAAATTATTTTTAAAGCGAAGATTATTACCCGCTAGGAATTCTTTGTTTCTCCTGGGCCGTAGTCACCTATATTTAACTACTTTTTTTTTATATGATTTTACTCAACTATGAACTACCAAAGCAAAACTAATTGCATTTTAACCATAGAAAAAGGATTTTTTCTATGACCACTATGTAAAAGTCACTTTTCATGATGGCATCGTTGCTTAGAAAATGAATCTTTTCATTGGCAAGGCAAAACACGAATGTAAAAGTCGTTTTTTTCGCGTAAATACTATGTAATACTACGGTTAAATAAGTCATGACGTCACAGTTAATTCATATAACCATGGTTAGGTTTCTAACATTTGACATTTGTTTACTTGTTCATAACCTATAATTTTTAAAATGTGTTTTTACCTATTTATATTTAATTTCTATGCTTTTACCGGTGTAAATAAATTCCTTTGCCTCTTCTTATACCTAGTAAATTCTTTTTTTTATAGGTACTAGTTTTTTCAGTGCACGTTATCCAATTCTCCTACATTTTTAATATAAAATAAGGAAGAATATAAAACAAACCTGCATATAATTCCTCCACTTGTGGAGAGTCCACAATATGGAGCACCCTATCATTTATTTTTACTGACAACACCCCGTTTACCATTTTAATACAAAGTTTAAATTCGGTTTAAGAGCAATTGTACCTACTTAAAAAAAAAAGGTTAAGTTTAATAACCATAGTATTTCATGGTATTTACGCGAAAAAAACGACTAAAGTGACATTTCTGTGTGAAAAGTGACAGGTCTGTGTGAAAAGAACCGGAAAGCATCGTTTGACATTCAGCTGTCAAAAAAGTTTTTAGGTTATTTTGTTTTGTATTTAAAAATACGCTGTGTCTAGTCTCACGCTAGCGTGAACGCAATTTTATTCTTATTCTCACGCGGTGACGTCACTAATTATAATCCGTTTTTGTTCCCAGAGTTTTTAATATTTGACAACAAGCTGGATGGCTCCGATGGTAGGGCGGGCGCTTGGCATGCGAGAGGTCCCGGGTTCGATTCTAAGAACTTTTTTTATTTTTTTATTTAATAAATTTGTTGTTTCTTTGTTAAACAGTGTTCGGTTGGGTTGGGTTGGTTAATTTGTTTTAGTTTTATCGTAACATAAAATCTACCAGAAGTTGTCGAACTTTTTTTATTTCATAAATTTGTTGTTCCTTTGTTAAAGTGTTTTATTTTTATCGTAACATAAATTTGCCCATTTTAGTTGGGTTTTTTGCTCAATGGGGCGGGGGGGGTCCAATGGGGCGGGGTCGGTTGGGTTGTGTTGTTGAGTTTGGGTTGGTTTGGCTGCAGTAAAAGAGTCTCGATTTTATTATTAGTAAATTTTATTACATTTGCATAATCAAATTTAATCAAATGACATAATCAAATCAAATGACACGACACCTAAAAAGTAAAATTAAATAAAATAATGCATGAGAATAAAATTAAAATTATTTTGACTTTAGCGTGAGAATAAAAATTAAATTGCGTTCACGCTAGCGTGAGACTAGACACAGCGTTAAAAATAATAAAAAATAAAAGGGTCGCAGAAAAAACATTGTGTTATACTTGTGAAACAAGCTTTCTTCAAGCTCGTGTTAATGCACACTCGGCCTAACGGCCTCGTGGGCAACTTAAAAACTTGCATGAAAAAGTCGCTTTTCAACACTTGTAAAACAAATAACTATTAACTACGAATTTTCACAACTCAACTTGACAACCGTTCAATGTAACCTACAACCTAGGACCTACAATAAGTTTGTTTTAATCAATGCAACCAATTTTGGTTCCGTATTCACCAACCAAACCCCTAAATTTGCAACGTTGCCGCAGTCCAGATAAAAAAAATGTTACAACACCCTCTATCTTAGAAAGCTAAACCTATAGTTTTTCATTCTAGGATATAGAGGGTGTTATATACAAGTCCCATTGCCATACAAAACTAAAAAAAAATTGTTACCTACAGAAAAGCATTCCCAAACTAAATTTTTTAGGATATAGGCAGAATAATTGATAATGATAACACATCCTTGGAACTGAGTAAATTCATCCAGTCTGCTAGCGATTTGATTCCAATGTGTCTGGAGTCTTTGTTGCATCATGCCAGCGTAGAAGAATATGCTAATGATATTGTTAATTTGAACGGTTTGCCTCTTTTGATGGAGTTACACAACAGATTCAAAAACAATGCTGCGGTATCTGTGATTCTTTGTAGAATTATATCTTACATGTCTGTTTACCCTGTGCTGTTGGATCCTATTTACAAATCAGGTATTTTTTTAACTTACTTTCCCAACACCCTGTACATTTGACTGTGTTAGGATGGATTGGAGTTTTGTCTGAATGGGTGAATCACCCGGATATCAGAATATCGATACCAGCAGCCAGAGCTTTAGCAAATTTGGACGTGGACGAGCATGCAATCTATTCAAAAAAATTGTTTCTGCTGTATCCGATGATGAAGAACACCAAAGAACAAAAAGTGGATGTAATTTTTGTGCATGGGCTTTTGGGAGGGGTTTTTTTCACTTGGAGGCAAAGGAATAAACACCAGACTACTCTTAGTTTAATGGGTATGAACTTAACAAAATAAATTCTTTGTTTATTTATTTTTTTTTAACAAATATTATACACTTTCAGAGAGGGTCCAAAATTCTTTTAACCAATTTATGTGGTTTAATAGTAAGTTAAAATTGCGTGGTTTTTGCTTGGTTTATGCTTTTGGGATTCTTATTGTTATTTGTTTTTTAATATTATTTAGGGTGTATTTCTAAAAAAATAGGGTGTTCCATTGGAAATTTTAAAGTTACACCTATATATGATATTTCATAGTAAGATGACACAAATTAGGTAATTTGTTTTATTAAAAAACACTAGTTTACAAAATCAAAAAAAATCTGCCCACCATATCCCATTATAATTTTTTCATGTATTTTGACCCACAAAACACGAAAATCACAAAAAAAATAATTTATGGAAGCGTTTTTAAAATATGAATTTTCGGAGGTGTTTTGACGTTTTTGTAGTAGGTATATCTTGAAATCTAATTGATCGATTTGCTCAAACAAGCCCTTAAATTGAAGGTATTTGAGCCCTCTAAAACTTTATTTTACATACTTTTGATATCGGATAAGTATTTTGACGCTAGCGTTTTTAATAACTTAAAAAAATCGTTTTTATGACAAAAATTGAGGTCGAAAATTCACATATCGTCCTGGGAAAGGTTTAAATCAAACAGATAACTCCAGTTTGGATTTTTTTCGTGAAGCTGACATTTAAAAAAAAACAAGCTAATGTTTTAAAAATACATGAAAAAATGGCGAAGTTATGAATTTTTTAGTGGAAGACCAAAATTCAGTTTTTTGACGATTTTTATTTTATTTTTTTTTCTTTTATTTCGTAATATGTTTATTTTTTAATAAAAACCTAATTAAAGTGCATGATTGGAATTTTTTTAGTTTTTTACGTACTTTTTTCACCGAAAACATTTAATGGTTATATAAAATTTAAATTTGACATGACTCCGCAAACGTGAATTCTTTTGTTTCTCGTGTTGGCATAGTGACATTTTACTGCTATTTTTTAATATTTTAACAGAGTATTTTTATCATGATTTTATTTAGTTAATAAAAAGTGTAAAAGAAGTAGAGAGTTCGAGTGCGTAAATAACCCGGACAATCTGGGCGACGTTAGTGATGAGCACGGAGAACGTTTTCACCAGCAAATGAAGGCTATGGAGCGGCGGTATCACGGCTTCTGGAATGCAGCCATGATGGGTGATTACATTTGGTCCCTTATACGAGAAATGGAATACGAAAGCAACAAAAAACAAAAAAGCAGCCAGATTTTTTTTAAACAAAATAAAACTTTCAATATCTTCAATGTTCAATATATAATTTAATTTCAATATTTAATGTTTAAAATAAAAAACAATGTTTAATATTAAACTTTATATAACTCAATAAAATGAAAAAAACGTAAAAATTCTCGAAAAAACTGAATTTTGGTCTTTCACTGAAAAATTCGAAACTTTGCCATTGATCCATGTATTTTTATCAACAGCAGCTTATTTTTTTCCTTTAAGTATAATCTATACGTAAAATAAATCAAACTGGACTTATCTTTTCGATTTATATCTTTCCCAGAAAGATATGTAATTTTTTGTAAAAAAAGGACTTTTTCAACTTCATAAAATCGCCAGTATCGAACTACTGAGCCAATACCAAAACTATACAAGAGAAAGTTGTAGATGTCTCAATTACCTTTGATTTAAGTGCTTGTTTGGTCAAATCGATCGTCAAAACACCTCAGAAAATTTAATTTAAAAAAAAAACATTCCACACAACAAGGTCTGTTCTATCTCATGCTAAAAATACTAAAAATCACTGCAACACTGCACAGAGTTTAACCGCGGCCATTTTTGTTGTTTAAAGGCTTTGTTATCTATGGTTCTTGTGCCCAATTGGGTTTGTGCTGTTTAATAATTGTTTTAAACGTTGGGTTTCTTACAGAGGCACTTGTAAGCCTCAAATAAGGCCTTTAAGTGCTAAGCACAACCATTTTACTCCTCTTTTATAATAAATATACCTTATTCTATCAGGGCTGTCAAATGACAATTTGAAGGTTAATTTGAGGGTTATAATTTAACCTTAAAATTGACATTTGACAGTTTTATGACAGCCCTGATAGAATAAAGTTTATTTTTTACAATAGAGGAGTAAAATTTGTTCTTAGCACTTTAAGGACTCTTTTAAGGCTTACTATGAGAAACACAACGTTTAAAACAAACAAACAAGGGGCCTAGAAGTAAAAGGGTTTAAGGGTATTTTTGTTAGTTCTGAGATAAGTGGCTTTAAAGTTAACTTGAATTTTAAAAATCTAGAAAAGAGTTTAAAAAACTGTGTGAATATTTTAGTTTTGTTTAAAGACAAAAAAGGATTATAAAGAAGAAAAAAATTCGCTTTTTTGTTAATTTTTTTTACAAAAATGTACTTGAATCGTCATGCATGTAAAACAAAATTTAGTGGTAAAATGATTTAAATGCAATTACTGGCTCAATGCTGTCTGTTTTAAAATACTTGTCAAGGCTTTAGCAGCATAGATAATAGCCTATGTTTAGCAGTAAAAGGTGCCCTTAAATTGTTTTACCAAAGATTTATTTTAAAATATTTTGACCGGTTTTTAAAGAAATGGCGCCAGGGAATTTAAAATATACTTAGATAATTTTACCACTAAGTTAGAATATTCTTTAGGTGTGATATTCTGCACTTAGAAGATTTATTTAAAAAAGTGCACTTGAACCCTTTTACTTCCAAGCCCCTCAATTATTAATCTGTATAAACAGAGCACAAAAATTGTAAACAACAAAAATGGCCGTCGTTAACCTGTGCAGTGTTGCAGTGATTTTTTGTATTTTTAGTACGAGATAGAACAGACCTTGTTGTGTGGTATGAGTAGGACATACTTTTCCCACGTTGTTAAAAACCGGAGTGTAGAGCATCCATACAATTTCCCTTGACAGATTAACGTGGGTCATTTTAGTTGTGATTAAAACCAAATAAAATTAAAAATGTTTACGTTATTGATAGACACAATATGCCCAGATTCAGAGGCGACAAAACCCCCACCGCCCGACGAAAAACTTTCGAAAAGCAGCGAACCGAACACTAAAGCCTACCTGGAGAGTTTCAAGGAGATGATAGGCGACAAAACGTGCCACGACTACGACGTCGTGCTCCACGATCTGCCCACGAAGACCAACGGCAAGTGCTCGGACCCGCTGACCTGCCCGGGCGCAAGCTTCGCCAAGAAGGACCAGGACTACACGTTCTGCTGGCCCAAGGACTGGCTGGGCGACGACTGCAGGTAGGGATGGGAACTATCACTGAAAATTTCTACTGATAACTATCAGTAATTTCGAGTGAATTACTGATAACTGGGCGAATATTCGTTAAATGTACATTTGCTGTCCCCAGCTAATTTTATTTTTATTTTTGACCTTTGTTGATAAGTTTAGGTTAGGATCCATCGTATTTTTTTTGTAATTACTTTATGTTTCTATATATGGCAGAAAAACTAGGTGAAATGTCCTGTAACCACAGACCTAGGTCTGTGCCTGTAACCTAACTGTCCCCAGAGGCTATTTTTTAATTTAAATTATTACCTATATTCTTCTTCTTTGCAGGTTTCTTCTGAAAAAATAAATTATTTTTGAACAATGGAAAGTTCTTTTATTCGTTTATAAAAATAAAATAGTTTTCTACAAAGTAGTTTAAATCTTGTCTTTTTCCTAACGTCGTCTTCTATGCCGACTGCTTCGAAATAGAGACACGAGATAGAGATACTATCGTGTTATTTCTAGAGGGCATACATGTTTGATAGTTCGGCAACAACAAGTGAGCACGTGTAAAGTATGTGAATTTTTTTATAAATATTTTAAAGGTAAGATTTTTTTGCGTACACTTTTGGTGTCTTTTACATAACGCTACATAAAACTCTTGTTTTAGAAGTTAACTTTTTTATTTTCATTTTGTATTATAGCATAGTAGAAATTCCAAAGAAATGCCGAAAGATATTTACATTTAACAGTATTTCTGAAAAATAACGTTTGAAAAAGTCAAAAGCAATGTGTCATAAAACCTTCAGGAAGATGCGTTAGGAGGAGGACAATGTTTCATTTCTTCCTTGTGTTCCTTCCACATTTCAGATTAACCCTATAAGTTTTATTTCTTTAAAGTTTATTTTTGTTATTTATAAACTTCTAGAAATTTTTTGCAGTCTATTACACTGTTCTATCACAAAGGAAAAAAAATCGATCAAATTTACCTACCTGGACAAAATATATATCCAAAATGTACATTTAACGAATACTCGCCCAACTATCAGTAAATATCAATAACTTCTTCCACCATCTCTTAGAAGCGGGATATTCGAAAAGTTATTCAATTTTGGTAAGGAAGCAGAAAAAGGTATTCAAATAATTATAGTAAGAGATTGTCCACTTGTACTTTGTTGGAAAAATTGCAAAGTAGTTTGGTTTTTTAAGAACTTTTTTCTAACTGCATGTTTTAACGCCAGAAAACAACACTGTTTAAAAACGCGACAAAATCACTCGTTTAGAGTTAAAGCAATGTAGAAAGTTTCTAGATTCTGGTAAAATTTGTACTGTGGAAATCTTATTGATAAGGTTATAAAAACTCGGAGATACCAAAAAAATGCAAAATAACCAAATGTATCTGGGAACTTTTAAAGTTTTCTCATAAATGGAGCTAGTTATTAACTAACTTTTTTTTGGTAATATGCATTTTATTGTTTCTGACAAAGTAAGGTTTTTACAGTTATCTTAAAAATTTCTTCAAGTAGAAATATTACTATCAGTAACAACACCCCTTACTGATACTTATTGATATTTGTCCTTCCTGATAACTATCAGTAATTACTGATAGTTTTCCCATCCCTAACTGCAGGAACATCAGGGTGATCGGCGTGAACTACGACACCAGCTTGTCGATGTGGGCGCCGATGTGTCCCTGCGAGAACGTCAAGCCGTCCCTGGAGGAGAGAAGTTTGGAGCTGACGAACAAGCTCGTGATGGCCGGCGTCGGGGATAGGCCGATCGTTTGGGTGACGCATTCCATGGGAGGCTTGATCGTCAAGAATTTGTTGTGCAACGGTGAGTTTTGGATTTTAGCAAGTTGGACTTTTTTTCGCGCGTTGCGAGTAGGGTTGGGACAGTTGAAATTTTCAAATGAAAATTTCAACTTTGAAAGTTTCAAACTTGAAATATTTCATTTAGTTGGAAAAGTGAAATTTTTAAAAATTTCAAATGAAATTTTCAATCCGAAAATTTCAACAATGCCTGTGAATGTTTCAGAAATTTCATTGAAAGTTTCGCAATTTACTGAAAATTTCGCATACATTTCACATGCGGCCTCCCCTGGGCCCTTTAATAATAATAATTTACAACAGATTCCGAATCGACCAATAAGAACGAGTTATCAAGCGTCTGGGCGTTTTTGTTTAGTTCGGCTTGGATTTGAATACACTATAAGTAATTATTGTTACTTATGTGCATAAATTAATTTAAATAATTTAATTCAGGTACCAATTTAATTTGTAAATTAAACCAGACTTTAAATTTTTTTTTAAAGTCATGATTAACTTAAACTTTTACTTTTGCTATAGCTGCATCGGAAAACGGATAAAAAATGCCTTTGGCTCATAAAATTTTGATGAAGTTTCTTCAATTTTCGTAAAATTTCAGTAAAATATTTAAAAATAATAATTATATATAAATATAAAACAATGAAAGTGGCACAATCTCATTAGCTTACCAAAAAGTGCTATATCTCTTTTAGTTTTAGTAATTTTAAAAATATTTTAAAAGGAAATCTTAAGAAATTTGTGGTAAACATAGGTATTTACTATTTATATTATTGGTGGCCCACAAAGAGGAGGAGTTATGAGAGGCAATTTGCCATGGTCCCCGAGTGGGCTTATTTCAATATTAATATAATATATTGTAATATTATTACACTTAAAGTGATTGAAATTTATTGAAAGTTTCAATAAATTTCATAAATTTCATGAAATTTCAGAAATTTTTTAAGAATTTAAAAAATATTTTAAAACTTTCGAAATTTTACAAAACTCATTCACGTCTTTAAACCTAATTATTTAATATTAATTAATTGTTTAATTAATAACTTTTAAATTGATTGAACTGAATTTTTTTAGAAATTAAAATTTACAAAATTTGCTGGATTTTTTAAATTATTAATTTTGTTTTTTAAATTTTCAAAATTAACAATTTTTTTTAAATTAACATTTCCGTTTTTTTTTAAATTTCCAAAATTCGTAATTACAAAATTCACAAAATCTTCCAAAAGTTAAAAAGTTTTAAAAACTTTTTAATTTATAAAATCTCTAAACCAAAATTTTTCTAATTTTTTGGACTTTTTAAATAAAAAAATAAAAACAATAACAATAATTAAGAAAATCTGAATTTTGAAATTTACTAGATTTTTTAAAATTAACATTTACATTTTTATTTTAATTTTTAATTTTCAAGATTCCAAAATCTGAATTTTCTATTTTTTTTTAAATTTCCAAAATTCGTAATTACAAAATTCACAAAATCTTCCAAAAGTTAAAAAGTTGTAACAAATTTTTAATTTACAAAATCTCTAAACCAAAATTTTTTGAATTTTTTGGACTTTTTAAATAAAAAATAATTTGAATTTTGAAGTTTACCAAGTTTTTAAAATTTACATTATTTTTATTTTTATATTGAAGATTGAAAAACTTTATTTTTAAATTCCAAAAAAAAATTTACATACATAAATCACAAAATCTATTTTTTTTAATAATAATAATATCTTTATTAGCCAGAATGCTATACAGAAAACATATAATAGTATAAATAAATGAAAAACATAAAATAACACAGAAAATAAATAAAATCATATAAACTTAAGACAATACGTATACATTATGACAATTTAAAATATATTATCACTATAGTGATAATATATGAGATCTAATACAATTTTTAAAAGTTGTGATATCACTACATTGTTGTATATCCGGGGGTAGCTTATTAAATTCAAGCATACCCTTGTACATAGTAAAGTTTGACATTTGTACTGTTTTACATCTATCAAGTTGGAAATGGTTTATATTACGAGTATTATAATTGTGGACATTACGCACATATTTAATATTATCGGACAAGTAATCAGGTACTAAATTGTTTTTAACCTTAAAAATAAATAACATAACATCAACATATATTTTTTGTTTCACAGACAAAATATTCAAGACATTTATCATGGTTTGTATAGGCGTATAACGATTCACATTTAAAATTACTCTCATAGCTCTATTCTGTATAATTTGTATTTCATTAAGTATATACCTGGGTAAATTATATAAAAGGGTTGAACAAAATGAAATATGTGGTAGTGCTATACTTTTATAAAGTAGTAGTTTTGTGTATAAGGACAGATTTTTACCTATTCTAGTTATAAAAAATACTTTTTTGCTTAACTTGTTCATTACATAGCTTGCATGTTTGTGAAAATTTAATTGTTCATCAAGGATCACTCCGAGATATTTAATTTCTTTTACACATTCTAATTTGACATTATTAACACTTATATTTAAAAAATTAAAATCAACATTTACAGTCTTATATCTACTCCCAAATACACAGAATTTAGTTTTTGACACATTTAAACATAAACTATTGCTATTTAGCCACTCACATAGCAATTTTAAATCATTGTTTATTAGTTCACTCATTACATTTAAATTGTTCCCTTCTATGTATAGCATAGTATCATCTGCGAACATTTTTATTTTGCTGGATTTAACTATTTTTGCCATGTCGTTTATATACAATATAAATAAAATTGGCCCAAGCACAGTTCCTTGCGGTACTCCATATTTAACAGGTTTACAACTTGAATACATACTTCCATATTTAACTTTTTGTTTTCTATTATGAAGATAGGATTTCATAGAATCAAAAAATACAGGATTTTTAAAATATACAAAAAAATTGAAATTTACATAATTTTTATTTTTGTTAAATATATTCAAAATTTCCGAATTTTTTAAAAAATCCAAAAATTTAAATTCACAAAATCTCCTAGGTTTTTAAAATTTAGGCACAAGATTTATTAATTTTAGTAGTGAATCCAATAATTTTCGGAAAAAAATTGTGAATTTTTTGAGGTTATACTTTTTTTGTCGCGTTGAAAGTTGCGTTCCTTCTAAGTTCCTTCTAAGAAATTTCAATTTTTTTTTAATTTACAAATTTTTAAAAAATTTACAAAATATTTCAAAATTTTGAAATTTTACAAAATTCACAAAATCTTTAAACCTATTTACTTAATATTTTTAATATTGATCACTGGATTTTAAAAATTAAAAAAAAATTAAAAATTTCAAAATTTGCAAAATTTTTAAAATTTGCAGGATTTTTTAGATTAAAATTTTTTTTGTTTAATTTTCAAAACATTCAACTCTAAATTTTTTAAAACAAAATCTTCATTATAAGCAAAATTTGTGAATTTACTAGATTTTTTTAAAATTAACATTTTAATTTTAATTTTTAATTTTCAAGATTCCAAAATCTCAATTGCCGAATTTTTTAAATTGCCAAAAATTTTAACCACAAAATTCACAAAATTAAATCAAAAGTTAAAAAGTTGTACAATTTTTTTTATATTTTTGAATTTTTTAAAATTTACAAAATCTTTAAACCAATAAAAAAATTTCAATTTTTTCAAATAAAATAGTTATTTATGTATGAAGGCAGTAAAGTCGTATTTTTTTATCACGAATGTGCTGAGGAGCAGTAGACACATCTTAAAATGTATAATGGGTTGCAGTAAAGTTCTACATTGTTGACTACTTTACTGCCGATTTCGGATAAAAGAATTTTTTAGAACAAAATCCTCAAAATTACCAAAATTTGAAATTTTTTTGAAATTTACTAGGTTTTTCAAATTTGAATTATTTTTATTTTTAATTTTGAAGATTCCAAAATCTTTTTTTAAAATATCTAAAAAAAATTAAATTTACATACATACATCAAAACTTCAAAATTTCTAAACTTTTTTGAGGTTATATCTTTTTTTAGGCAAATTTAAAAAAAAAATAAAATGAAGAAAATTTTACCAAAATTTTCGTAATTTTTAAAATTAATGGATTTTTTAAATTTACAAAAAATATAAAGTTTACAAAATTTTAAATTAAATTTTTTTTCCAAATTTTTCAACACAAAATCTTGCATTTGCAAAATTTAGAAATTGACTGGATTTTTAAAATTTACATAATTTCAACAAAAAAAATGGCACTGGGCACTTGGCACTTTGGAACTTTCACGCTTTAATTCACAAAATCTCCTAGGTTTTTAAAATAAACGCAAAAGATTTTCGAATTTTTGAAAATTTAGAGAATTTTTTAAATGAACAAAATTTAGGAAATTTTTAAACCAAAATTTGCGTAATTTATAAAATTACTGGATTTTACAAAAAATGTAAAATTTACAAAATTTTAAATTAAATTATTTTCCAAATTTTTCGACGCAAAATTTTGCATTAACAAAATTTTAGAAACTGATTAGAATTACATAATTTTTATTTCTGTACAAATATCCAAAAATGTTCATAATTCACAAAATCTCCTAGGTTTTTAAAATTTATGCACAAGATTTTTATTTATCTTTTTTAATTTTTAAAATTTCCGAATTTTTATAATTTTAGGAGTCAATCTAATGATTTTCGGAATAAAATTGTGCATTGGTACGGTTTAGAATTTTTTGAGGTTGGACTACAAATTTTAAAATTTACAAAATCATAAAAAAATTAAACAAAATTTTTAAAATTTACATTTTCAAAATTACAAAATTTTCAAAATTCCCCAATCAAATTCGCAAATTTAGAAAATTTAACAAAATTTTTAAAATTTGCACGATTTTTTAAATTAAAAATGTAAGATTTAACAACATTAAAAAATTTCAAAATTTGTATAATTTTTGAAATTTACTAGATTTTTTAAATTTATATTATTTTTAATTTGGTAATTATTTAAAACGTATTAAAAATTTATAAGTTTGTTAATTTTTTTAAAAAATTTTAAAATTAAAAAAGCTCAACCCCAACTTTTCGGAATCCTAACCCTTTGCAGATCAAGGTGAAAACTTAATTTTTGTTGTTTTTTTTATTTAATTATTCTAGAAACGGGTTTTAGAAAAAAAATTGTAAACAAAAAATATTGTTTTTTTAAGCGAATGAGGCACATTAGCTTTTTTGTTTATAATATTATTTTTTAAACTTACAAACATTTTAAAACTTTTAATTTTTTTCTTTAAATATATTTGCTACCAAGCATTTTACCATGCAGATCAAGGTGAAAACTTAATTTTTGTTGTTTTTTTTATTTAATTATTCTAGAAACGGGAAGTTTTAGAAAAAAAATTGTAAACAAAAAATAGTGTTTTTTTTAAGAGAATGAGGCACATTAGCTTTTTTGTTTATAATATCATTTTTTAAACTTACAAACATTTTAAAACTTTTAATTTTTTTCTTTAAATATATTTGCTACCAAGCTTTTTACTGTGAAATGGTGAACCTCCCTCTCAAAAGTTTTACACATGTTGCTACTTTTCTTCAGAATTAAAAATGCGATACTTATCTGCCCGATAATGATTTTATTTATTTAATAATGTTTTTTAGCGTTTGAAAGTAAAGATCAAAAAGTCAAAGCCATAAGTTGTAACTCCAAAGCTCTTATATTCTATAGCACCCCGCACATAGGTTCGCGCTTGGCAAATTTAAGTCAAGCGACAGCGCTGGTTTTGTGGCCATCTGTGGAAGTACAAGAACTAAGGGAAAGTAAGTGTTTCATTCCTAAAATACTTTTTTTATAACAGGCATTGCCCATGGTGCTAAGACTTTATTTTTAGTTTTCTAGCAATGTTTTTATATCTTTAATTTATAAACATTCTAATCATAATTATTTATTAATATTGATTACAATGTTAACATATAATACAAGTACTTTTTAGAATCACCAAAGTTGGTAAAACTGCATAAAAAGTTTCTGGCAATGTTAAAGGAAGTTCCTTTGAAAGTAATAACCTTTGTTGAGACCAAATCGACCATTGTGACCGCTATGAAATTTAATTTTCTATTCGTCGAACCGCACTCGGGAAATCCCGGAGTTGGAGAATATTACGAAATCCCACAAGACCATTTAGATATTTGCAAACCCATCAATAGGTATTTTATTTTTTTAAACATCGGTGTTAAATTTTAATGTTTTAAATCATTACAGGTATTCTTTTTTATACCAAAAAGTCCTTCAAGTACTCAAAGAAGTTGTGAGTAGTACAAATTAGTTGTTTAATAAATTATTTACAATTACTTTGGTATTTAATTTTTTTACTTTGAGGTTTTTTCAATTTAAATATACTAGGATTCCTTTAAAGTTAACCTGTATATTTTCTAATATTTTACAGTGCGCGTCAAAATTAACGTATAACAAGTAAAAAAAATCCTACTCTAAAAGCCTTTACCAATCTTTATAAAATTTTGGATAAAAATACTTCAACTTATATCTCAGTTTACATTTTCGATGGTTTTTCAAGTAAATATTTTTAAAGCCCTTTTATTTAATAATATTTTTTTTTATTTATGCGGTAATTTTGACGCGCAGTGTACATATGTATATCCAAATTTTTAATCCAATTTTATTATTTATTTCATGATGGTCATGTGATGTACACATCACCTTGTTTATTGTTCTGTGTACGCTTAACAATGATAATTATTTGAATCATATAGAAATATTAGTGTTTATCATTTTACTCAGAATTTTTAATCGCTTTTGGTTTATTTAACCTTACTGACACCCAGTATACAATTACCTAAATAAAGAAATTGCACAGCAGTTTAAAACAAAAAAAGGGAAAAATTCGCAGTTTATAAATATAAAAAATGGTGGAAATATCCAAAATTTTCGAAATATCCAGAAAATTACAAATTTCGCAGTGGCACAAATTTAGAAAATGGTAGGACAAATTTACACAGTAGTTTAAAATAAAAATGTGTGGGAAAAATTTGCACAGTAGCTTAAAATTAAAAAATAGTAGGACAAAATTATACTGTGGTTCAAAATAAAAAAATGGTGGGAAAAATTTTCAACATAAACAAAAAATTTAAAATTCGCACAGTAATTTAAAAATTAAAAAATGCACAAATTGGCACGGTGATTCAAAATTTAAAAAAAGTGGAAAAAATTCGCACAGCAGTAAATATAAAATTAATAGGAAACATTTTCAAAATTTGCACAGTGGCGTAAATTTAGAAAATCGAAGGACAAATGCGCACAGTGGTATAAATTAAAAAATTGGTCGGAAAAAATATCACAATAACGTACTAAATATAAAAAATGTAGGACAAATTTCTACAGTTGCCTAAGTTTAAAAACTGGGAGGACAAATTGACAATGTAGGATAATTTTAAAAAATGGCAGGACAAATTCGGAGTAAAATTATAAAATATTGGAAAAAAATTCAAAAATTGTCATATTTCAAAATCTCCCTGATTTATGAAATTTTCAAATTTATTTCAATATTTTTAAAATTTCCAAAATTATGCCATTAAGTTTTTTATTCATAACTGTTTTAAATATCTTTCTTCGATCATTTTATTGTTTTTCCCACAATTTTATAATATGACATAACATTTCATAATTACTTTTTTAATGTATTTTTAAGTAGTTTTAAAAAATAAACCATAAATATATTGTAAAAGTATAATAGGTAGGTATAATTTTCTCACTGAGTTTGACAGATGTCAAATGTTTAACAATTAAAATTGGCTTTAAATTCTTCTTCCCAGATAGCACAAAGGTATACTATGGACGTCCAATGGACGTATGCTCGTGGACGTCTGTATGTACATAGGATGTCCATTTTTTTCTATGGACGTCCCATGGACATCCGTTTAGAGTCCAGATGTCACAACTTTGGACATCCATAAGTCGTCCACCGATGGACGTCTATAAGGTGTTTAAACCATTCCTCCAGCATCCAGGACCTGCTTTTTTGCTTACTTTAACTGTTTTTTGCGACTGTATTTTCATTGCGATGTTGCAGAAAATTTTCTACAACATGACTGAAATGCCTTTTGTCTGGCTCAGTAACAATCCCACTAGGAATATAAATATTCTAAAAGTTGTTAAAACTTTTAACTTAAAAGTTACAACATTCAATGTTAAACATTTCAGGAAATCCTTGTATTCGAATATTACATTTGCAATACCACAAGTGTTTAACATTTCATTGATAGCTTAAGTCCTTTATAGCCCGCGCTTGCTTGAATGTCAGTGAGATTGATCATAACTGTTGTTATGCAGCCAACAATACGTTTTAACTACATTTCCGTAATAATAATTATGGACGTAAAATGGACACTATATGGACGTCCATTAAAATCGTACAAAGGATGTAAATATATGGACGTACATAGTACATCCATTTTTAGTCCGTGGACCAATGTACTTAAAATGGATCTTAAACGGACGTCCATTGGACGAATGGTGCTATCTGGGTTTGTGTTCGTCGTAGATAAAATAGAGTATGCAACTCGTTTTATAAACTTCTCTAGACACTTTGCCATGCTATTTTCTTTGTTTGACCCATTTTTGATACGAAATATTTTTAAATTTTGACCTCAATGAACCATTAAATCTAATCACAGTTTCATTTCAAAGAACCATACCCAAAATAAAATACATATGCCAAACATGTACAGATACATATGTAATATTTCAATAAATTTTGCAACTAAAAATAAAAATAATTTGTTTAACTGTAGGCCACAAAGAATAAATAAATAAAGTAAATAAAATTTTTTACATTTGGGGAAATAAATTAAACTATATATAGGTACCTATACCTAGTACTTACACTTATATGTAAGTAAATTTTATTTAATTTTTCTTTGTTTAAAAATTTGAACCTTTTATGAATATTTTAAGTAGTCTCTTAAATAAATTTAATTGAAGATTTTGATTTATTTATAAATAAATAAAACTGCTTTATTACAAATTTAAGTATTATTAAAAACTAAAAACAACATAATGGTACAATTAAGGTTTAAAACTGACATGTTTTTTTGTTTCTTAATTTGGCAGCTCAAAATTTAAAATGACAACAGTTTGAACCTTAAAGATTAAGGCTTAAACTTTAAAAACGAATTTTGCCTCAAAATCATGTACTCATATGCATATTCCATGGAGATACTACCTTAATGTTGCGTTCACTTAAAAATTAAATATTTGGTACAAACAAATAAATAAAATATATAAGAATTTTAAAAACAAAAAATAAAAATTTTCTTGTGCCAAAATGTCCAAAAACCATCATCAAAGACTAACACATTTTCCTTGAACAATAATTTAATAAAACAATGGTATTAGGAAGTTGTTGGCCAAGCGAAATCTGAAAAATGCCCTTTTGATAAACAAAAGACCTTTGACCAAACAGTTTTCTTAATAAAACTAAAATGCGTATAAAAGATCGTCTTTGTCGGCGACAAACAAATTTAACCTTTATGAAGACTGGACATGTGTCTGCATATGGCAACAAACGCCTGCGCAAAACGGTTCAATGGAATCCTGGTGGGGATGCATGCAAGAGGAAAACTAATAAACATCTGATTTTATAAACACAAAGAGTTTGAGTTTAACAAGTGAGCAATAGGAAGTTGGCGTAGACAAGAAAGCAAGGTAAGCTTGATTTTTGTATTACATATATTATATACAACCAATTTTTGTGTTTTATTGTGTAGAATACATAAAAATGAAGACTTTCGCGGTCCTTTGCATTTTAATCGTTGGAACGCAGGCTGTTTCCTTCTTCGATTTGGTACAGGAACAATGGGGATCATTCAAGGTCAGTAAATATTATTATTTTCTTGGGTTTATGAATAGGACGTAATTAAATTTTCGCCGTAATACCAATGAATGATGAATTATTGATTTTCAAGTAATATTATTTATTCACATACCTACCTACCTATATCGCAAATACTAAGTTTTTGTATTGTTTTTTTGAATGTTTTTGTTTGATGTTTAATAAGCGGAAATATGCCATTATACCTACAAATAAAGAAGCTTACTGTTTTATTTTTTTATATTTTATATACAGCAAATAAATTGCTTATTCACTTAATATAATAATTATTATTGACCAATTTATTTTATATGGAATAATATTCTTATGCAATTTTAAAATTTCATTACGTTACCAAAATATTGTATTACAAAAACAAAAAGTACATACATGCGAATAATGCGACTAATGATTAAATTTCATTGCTATTTTTATATAGGGTTTTTATTTTTGTTTTTTTTGTTATATAAATGTTTCGACTCAAAACTGAGATAAAAACAATTTTTTTAAGACGTTTCGAAAATAAAAAGGGTCCCCCTTCGACATAACCTACAAATGTGCTTGACTTCTTTAATTCGACGCCATTTTTTGGTTCACATTGGGCACATTTTCGACGTTCTGATTACGCTTCCCCTCTCTTTCGTACTCAAAGATAACGGCCGTTTTTAGATGCATAGTAAGATTACAGTGTTGCCGAGTTCAGTTAAACTTGAAACTTATCAATAATAAAAGGATTTATTTAGAAATAAGCAAATAATAATATAAATAAACGTTTAATAATAACAAATCTATAGATTAGCTGGAGATTGGGAGAATATATTAATATTATCAAAATAAATTTTTGATTGTATTATGGTTAGTGGTTTACTGCAAAGATAATACATTATTATCTTATGTATTATCTTTGGTTTACTGCACTAATAAGGCTTAAATTTAAAATTTAAATTTTGTTTTATTTTATTACTTTAGCAAAAAACGAATCTGTTATTATTCCGGGTCTTACGTTAGAAAATCTGTTTTTAATAATAGGCTTATAAGTGTTATAATATAAAAAATGTAAAAAAAAATAGTACATTATCATACGAGAGATAATGCGCATAATCTGGAGTATATAACTTTATCTACTCCAATTATAAGATATTTAAATGATTTTCAAAAATAATTAAATTAAATCTGACATCTGTCAAATGGTTAACCTCACTTTCTAACAATTTTAAATATTATTATACCTAGTCGCCTTTTCTAAATTTAAAACTCAATTGGTTCAAATCACAGTTAATATTGAAATTGGCCAATCACTGATGCCTAACAACGTGAATAATTAGTTCATTTCATTATAATAGTTTATATTATATATTAAAAAAATCCAATATTATACAATAGAAGTAGATCAAATTTTTATGAAAAAAAATTAAAAACAAAAGTCAATCTAGAAAATAAAATCCAGTGGATAGATTTATGTAACTTAAGTCATCCAACCATGGAGCCTACCCAAGGAGTACAAACTCAAGAGGGGGAGTTGACAGAACCTGCCTACTAAATCGCACAATTACGTTTTCTTTTTTCACCACAAGAGGCTCTGGTTTCCATTTTGTACTGACGTCTGCTGTTTTGATACAATCCAAATAACAAACTGAACACTAAAGGGAACCCTCTTAGTTTGAGAAGCCATTTGTATACATGGAGTTTGAACTTTACATGCATCCAACTTACAACAAAAAAAATTGTTATCAAAAAGTTGTTCGTACTATTACACAGTTCAACATTATTTTCCTCCCATGAAAATTTTTAACAGATTTAAAAATAAAGGTTAAACAAAACGTACCCGTGTCTCACCGTTTCACGAAATGAAGTCATCTAAATTATCATTATTTTATCCTATACAGATTTTTAATTCTTTATTTTGTTATAAATCATTTTGTCTTCAAATAGTGTATGTTTTTACATAATACAAAAATCATACTTAAAAAAATAATAATTTTATTTTTTTTTATTAAATAAAATTATTTCTGGTTTTAATTTTTGATTTTTTTTTAATAAAACAACAAATTTTATTTATCTTATATTAAATATACCTATGTTGGAAAAAATTTTGATCTTTTGGTTTGACGATTATACAATGTATAATATACATTGCTTTAGAATCTATAGTGGTACCACAACCTAAAAAACACCTCTTGATATACAGGGTGTTTCACATACGTGGTCCATTGGAAGTTTCTGGGGAACGGAAAAAGTCTATTTTTTTTTAAATATTTTGAACAAAATGACATTTCCGGTTTGGCCGGAAGTGACATCAACTTTGTTATTTCAAATAGAATATCTCTAAAAATCATTTCAAATAAAAAAGCTAATAACGTTTCAAGTTAGCCTAATTTGCCCTGCTTAATTTGTTAAAAAATGTTAAAGAATTCACTTTTAAACAATGTTTTAAGATTACAAATATTCCACCCCCATTTCCGCAAACTTAATAGCAATAAAGTTATAGGCTATTTTTGATTGACGCGCATTTGTCAAATTTTAACGAAAACAAAAATAATCGAAAACCACTTTAGAGCCAGGTATGGTACAGTAATTTTACTCAAAATTATATGTAGAATTTAAAAATGTAAAAATATATGGGGTGTTCTATTTGAAATATCAAAGTGGATGTCGCTTTAAAATTTTCAAATCGATATCTTATGCCTCAGAAAATTTCAATGGACCACGAACGTATTTCGTAAATGTGCAACACCCTGTATATAATTAAAATAATTTATTGTCTATTTATTCAGTGAATAAATTTTTCTTAAAAATATACAGTCTAGCTCTTATCGAAGCTGTTATATTATGTGCCGAATACCGTGGATAACATTTTATTGGATCGTACTTAACTATTTTCAAAATACCTAGGAATTTTTCATGGGAGGAAATAGTATATTAAAGTACTTACAAGTTGCAGAAGGCCACATATTCTCGCACGAATTCGAAATTTGGCCTCGAGCGACGAAGGAGCGAGTGGACGAACGAATGAGTGCGAGAATAGCCTTCTGCAACGTGGGATTTATACTATTTTCTCGATTTTAACTTTTATTTAGGTTTTTTTAATTGTTTTGTGGTCGTTGCTAGTTAGGGGATTTTTCTCGCAAAATGTCAGTTGGCAACACAAAATGACAATATTTGTTATCCTGCACAAGTACAACCTGAACTGCACTTTTACACATTAAACTTAAAATTTTGCATTAAAATGCATTGTTGGAGCAAACTTTATATTACAAAACAATAATAAAGGCTTCATTTTCAATAAAAGTAATGAATTTGAGGTTATTAATCAGTTTGACATTTTGGGGGTACCAATACTTAAAAACTAAATGTTACCAAAAATCGTTTAAGAATGAGCTTCATTCTTCAACGATTTTGCGTGCGAGAATATGACATTCTTACATAAAAATCGAGAAAAAAAATTAAATGTTGTCGTACTGTGTTATTATTTTTACTATACATACAGGGTGATCCCCTATAATGTCGCCCCCTTTAACTTTTTTATTTTAAGTGTCCCAAAATATTTAAAAGTGTGGTTATGTAGGTACTAAAAAAATACTTTTTTCTATTTATAAAAAATGGAAAATTGATTAATATACAGGAAAAAACAAAAAGTTTATTTTTTTTAATGGATTGAATTTATTTTTAGATTCCTTGTAAAATTCTGAGCATAATTCATATAACAAACCATATACCTAAATTCAACCGTTTCTGAAATATTCGCTTTCGAAATGTTATCATTAAATGTTTTTTAAACTGTTACAAATCAATAAGCCTCAGTATACCAACATTTTTATTGAAAATAAATTACTATAGTGACATTATGTCAAATGTTAAATAAGTAAAAATGGCGTACTCAGGCAGTGAAAGATCAACTATTTCAACTTATTATCTGAAAAATAATTTAAATATTTCAGAAACGGTTAAATTTAGGTATATGGTATGTTATATGAAATATGCTTAGAATTTTACAAGGAATCGAAAAATAAATACATATTTATATAGGGTCCCCGTATACTGATCAATTTTCCAATTTTCTTTATAGTATAAAGTTTATACGTAGAAAAAAAGTAATTTTTAGTACTTACATAACCACACTTGGGATACTTAAAATAAAAAAGTTAAAGGGGGGCGACATTATAGGGGATCACCCTGTACATATTGTGTTTAAATTGATTGATCATGATTCTAGTATTATCAACTAAAATTCTCCTTGGAATGAAAGTAAAAATTATATAAAAAAATGAACCAAACAAAACACGGTGGTCAAAACTAAAGTTTAGGACGAACAAAAATGCCAACCAAAACTGATAGCATAATCTGATTATAGACTCTTTTGGTAACACAAAAATGTATTTATCAAAATCCCAGCTGATCCTTTATTAAAGTTTTGCATATTCTTAGTATTTTAAAATTGTTTATGCCATTTCAATAAAATACTCTAGTACCACTATCAAATGTTTTAAAAAATTTGGCAGATGCATGACTGAAATATGGATAAATTACATTATAAATACAAAATAATGTAAAATACAGTTTGCAATATCTTATTTATTGTTTTAAGGTACCTAATACAAAACTAATAAATAACTAAAGATTCTTTGAAGCAAAATCGATTACTGCTTGCCTTAAATTTTCAGTAAAACTTTTTCTTGGGTTTTACATGGAATTGTTTTTAACATGGAAACAGTATTTTTAAATTCTTTAGTCTCTGTACAAACATGCTTCTTACATCTAGCGATATCCCCTAGAAAGGAAGAGCATATCAAAACTTAAGTTCGTTCGTCCGTCCTCTTCCCTTAATAATTTTTTATGCCCTTTATATCTTGCCATTTTGCAGATAAAGCACATACATATGTATTCTTGGCTGCCGCGAAATTCTCTAGCAATTTCTAAATTTTGAAAATTTGGCAATTGTGGCTATGCAAAAATACCGTTTTTACCATATTGAAGTAGGTAATTTTGAATCACTTAAGTTAAAGTCTGCAGTAAATTTTATATTTTCTCAGAAACCCTAAACTCTGAATTTTTCGATTACCAAAAACAATTTTGTTTCCACAGCAAGCACATACCTTCTTTCGATTTTCTTCATGGTTATCTTGAATTTCGGTTTAATTTTCATTTTAAAATACTATTTTTAACTTTATAAAGTATACATTAAATAAACAACTAAAGCAAAATGTCACTTGCGTTATAACGTATAGCAATTTTTTTCATAACCACCTTAATTATTGTTTTACAAAATTTGCAAGTTGTAATTATTTCATAGACAAACTTCCAGTATTTTTTGTTATAAAAAATATTTAAGATATAAATCTTCGTTTTTTTTGTTATGTTTTGTTTTGAATGGTAAAAAATAATAGGTGACTCAATAAATTAATACTGGGGAGTAAAGTAATTTAAATGATACAAAGTTTATTATTTTGCTTAATTTTATTAAAATTGTACAGGTAGTTTCAGTACAATAATTGCAAAATAATATATATAAATAGAAAAACAAAAAAGTTTTCAAAACTTTAAAATAGGATCAGCTGGGATTTTGATAAATACATGTTAGTGTTACCAAAAGGGTCTATAATCAAAATATGCTATCAGGTTTAGTTGGCATTTTTGTTCGTCCTATACTTAAGTTTTGACCACCGTGAAAAGCATTGTTATCACAACATTCTTTATAATTCAGATCACACACAAAAAACAGTACGAAAGCGAGACCGAGGAGCGCTTCCGCATGAAAATCTTCATGGAAAACTCGCACAAAGTGGCCCAACACAACAAGCTGTACGCCTTGGGCAAGGTCTCCTTCAAACTGGGCATCAACAAGTACGCCGACATGTTGCACCACGAGTTCGTGCAGACGGTGAACGGTTTCAACAGGACCAAGAACTCGTTGAGGTCCAGCGAGTACAACGACGCGATCACTTTCATCGCGCCGGCCAACGTCAAGCTTCCCGAATCGGTCGACTGGCGGGAAAAAGGCGCCGTCACTGACGTCAAGGACCAAGGACACTGCGGATCCTGCTGGAGCTTCAGCACGGTAAGAAAGAAGAAGGAATTCCAGGAAGCACATGGGGAATAGGGCTGGGACCACGGTCTTATATACAGGTCTTCCAACTTCGCCCAATTTCAATAGGAAAAGTGACCTCTCTAATGAGACACCCACCAGATGGCGCATCGAGTTGTGGGTGAACCATAGATGTTTAAAGGTCGTTTTTACCTTCTTTATCTTTGGGTTTTACAATCGTTAGATAAGCTCTCTGGTGGATAATTTTCTTAGATAGAAGGTTTCTATGAAAGTTATCCGCCAAATAAGCTAACTTAATCTAACGATTGTAAAACCGGCTCTAAGTCCTTAAAGTCTATGGGATAAAAGGTCAAATGAACTACCTACTTATGTTCTGTGTTAAGAAACATAACCTACATTTTTATAAACAAGCTTGTGTATTTTGTTACAGGGAGTTTTTACTTATTAATTAGATTAAAATAGATTAAAATAGCTGACAGTTTGGCTAGTTTATAAACTACTCAGCTACTTTATAAACTATCCATGTTTACACATTAGCCGTAACATATATATGATATACGTATGTATTTTATACATTAACAAACATGTTTTACTTACATGTTTGGTCTGGGCATGTGACGGCCGAGGACTTTGTGCATAGAGTATAGACTTTGTTGTCCTATTTTGTTAACGTAAATTATCCGAAACAAACTCACAAATATTAAATTTTTGAAAATGTAAACAAAACATAGAAAAAGAATTTAAAAAGTTAGGTTATGGTTATGCAGTAGTTCCACATTTAACTAAGTAGTTCATTTAATTGACTTCAGCCTTCGATCTTAGCGCCACCTAGCGGCTTGGAACGTTAAGGAAGCCACCTCGAAGCAAGACCTGTATATAAGACCGTGGTTGGGACAGTTGAAATTTTCAAATGAAAATTTCAAACTTGAAATATTTCATTTAGTTGGAAACGTGAAATTTTTAAAAATTTCAAATGAAATTTTCAATCTGAAAATTTCAACATTGCCTGTGAAACTTTCAGAAATTTCATTGAAAGTTTACTGAAAATTTCGCATAAATTTTACATGCGTCCTTTAATAATAATATACAACAGATTCCGAATCGACCAATAAGAACGAGTTATCAATCGTCTGGGCGTTTTTGTTTAGTTTGTCTTGGATTTGAATACACTATAAGTAATTATTGTTACTTATGGTGTATTCAAATCCAAGCCCAACTAAACAAAATTTATTGTTACTTATATGCAAAAATTAATTTAAATAATTTAATTCGGTTACCAATTTAATTTGTAAATTAAATCAGACTTTAAATTTTTTTTTTAAGTCATGATTAATTTTAACTTTTACTTTTGCTATAATTGCATCGGAAAACGGATAAAAAATGCCTTTGGCTCATACAATTTTGATGAAGTTTCTTCAATTTTCGTAAAATATATAAAAATAATAAATATAAAACAATGAAAGTGGCCCAATCTCATTAGCTTACCAAAAAGTGCTATATCTCTCTTAGTGTTGTTAATTTTAAAAATATTTTAAAAGGAAATCTCAAGAAATTTGTGGTAAACATAGGTATTTACTATTTATATTATTGGTGGTCAGGGGCCCACAGAGGGGTAAGAGATAAGAGAGGCAATTTGACATGGTCCCTGAGTGGGCTTATTTCAATATTAATATATTACACTTAAAGTGATTGAAATTTATTGAAAGTTTCAATAAATTTCATAAATGTCATGAACATTTCAAGTGAAATTTCAAGTACAAGCAAAAAGTGAAATTTTCCCAACCCTAAGATAGTTTTAGAAACTTGCGTACTCCAGCTTAGTTTAACTAATTTTGGGCCACTGATTTCAAAAATGTCATTTGTTTTTCTCTAGGACGTCTAGGATTTAAAATAATTTCGTAATAAAATGCTCTGCTTAATCACCTCAAAATGTAAGTTTTTTGTTGATATTTTAATTATTTATTAAATTATTTTGTCTTAAATTTATCTTGAATTTACTAAAGTAATTGGTATACGGCAAATAGATCATATTTATCTTAACAATATGACATTTTAAATACTAAACTAAACTAAAATTTTAATGTATTTTATTAAAAAAACAACCATTATTTGAGATTTTTGTCGTTTATTTTAATTATTGAATTGAAAGGGCAAAAAAGTAAACAAGTTTCGGTATTTTTTATCCAAATACGCTAAAGAAGTATCGGGTTTTCGCAACGCGCGCGCCATCTATAGCACTGCGTGAATTGAATAATTGTCAACAATACATTTAAAGCACAGATTATACATCATTTTTAAATAAATAGGTAGTTTTTTTACAAAAGAGAGGAAGGCAGAAGTCTTACTCGACAAATTTTGTTCAATTGCAAAGCTAAATCGCGCACGTTATTTGTGTTTTACGTTGCAAGGAAAAAATTAAAAAACTTTTTTAGTACTCGATTTCGATTGATTATTCCTTATATTATTGATTAAGAAACTCAACGCTTAAATGCTTATAAAGTTACGTTTGTGTATTTTATCTAAGGGATCATGGTGAACTATTGTGTTTTTAATTGTAAATAAAATTCAAGAACTAAATAGTTGCTTTTTCATGTTTTGCCAAAGGATCCAATTCGGTAAGTGCATTTGTTGGTGCAGAATTAAATAATGATAACTTTTCCTAAAATAATTTTTGCACAAACACAACCTTAAAATCAACCATTTTTATATTTGAGTTCTCTAAAAAACGCCGACAACTGCATTTTAAACAACAAAATATACCTACGAATTCATGGCAACATAATATTATATATAATACATAATATAATGGCATTTTACTGTTGAGTGGAGACTTTCTTAATCAACGCTTTTAATAATTTTAAATGCTGTTTAAATTTAGACGACTTATTTGTTTGACGATTTTTACTGAATTGAAATATTTACACTTTTCACGTTAATCACTACTAAAATGTGTATTTATTGTATGCAATTTATTTCTTCACTCAGATTAACACTGTTTATAAATAACGTGTGATTCATTTAGACCTTTTTTTTAATTCTAAATAAAATGCATAAAATGGAATTGGATGGCGGAATCTTTATTATGACCTGAAAGAACAATCTTTGACATTTATTTTTTTGAAAATAATTTCATTTAAATGCTGGCCGCGACTACGGCGTACGTGGTCCATTCGAAAGGTCCAATTTTCGATCACTCTTTCTAGAATTGCGACCGGTATCTACCCAATTATGCGAGTAATGTTGGCTTCTTAGTCCTGAATCGTAGCTGGATCTACGAAGACTTTTGATTTAACAAGACGGACCTACGGCAGACACAGCGCGCGAAACAATAGCTTTATTGAGAAATCATTACTCGGGTAATTGGGCAGATACCGGTCGCAATGCTAGAAAGAGTGATCGAAAATTGGACCTTCCGAATGGACCACGCTGTACGCTGCCAGCTTTTAAATGAAATTATTTAAAAAAAAAAATGTCCAAGATCGTTCTTTCAGGACATAATAAAGATTCCGCCATCCAATTCCATTTTATGCGTTTTATTTAGAATTAAAAAAAAAGTCTTAATGAATCACCCTTTATATTGGAAAACCGGTAAAAACTCAACCCAGGATTTCCTCTCGAACAACACAACAAATCGAGCCACGGTTTTTTTCGATATTTTTTAACATTTTCCTGCTTTATTCTCAAAAACACTCGTTTGTAACATAAGCTGATTATTAAAAGTTATACTTTTGTTACGATGATAACAGCCGAGTGGTGGCGCTACTAGCGATACTTCTTTAGTGTATTAAGCCAACAAAATTTAATGCATTGCATAATTTTGCTTTTTTCTACCTTAAATTTATTAAATAGTATCAAATATCAAATTGAATTATGGTGTTATTGTGCTTAATCCTCATCATCGTCGTACATCTTTTGCTGCAAATTCCAGCAAATGTCTCTTAGCAATGAATCCGACTTCTTTCCGCTATACCCATAGATATTTACCAATGCTCTAGATTTGCAGTTACTTGGTGAAATCGTTCTCCATCTTCATCAGTTCGGCAAATTTATCAGGATGAAAAAAAAAGAAAATGTATTTTAAATGACATATTAACGCTAATTCTTTACAAAACGGAGAGCATTTTTTCAATGAATTGGCGCCAATTAACCAAGAACATTTTCAATGACACCTTCAACACTGCCATATGCGACAAGCTCGTCAACTTTGAGAGCATTTTTGAATGCTTGATCTTTCATTAAACGTCGTATCTCAGGTCCATTTAATATTCCTGCAAAATTAAAGTAGTAAAAATATCTCATAAAATATTGCGTTGGTTTTTCTTGAGGGTAAAGGTACCGCAACAAAAACAAAACAAATTTACAACGACTATATAAAGGTTCGTCTGCTTTCTCTTTCTCTGCCACTTCCATTTCCTGCTCATTTTTAATTTTTGGTTCTTAAAATCACTTTCAAGTAAAAATACAATTTAAATTTTAAAAGTCAAAAATTAATAGATGCACTTTTTAAAATGTGCTTGAACAATAAAGTAGTTAAAGGCGCCTTTATACCTCAATTCGATATTAAATTTCGATAAGACTTAGTAAATAAGATTGGAGATTGAATTTTTGGGTACTTTTGGCATAATGAAAATAAAAAAATATAAAATAATAGTCGAGAATTTATACCGAAACCCATTTACTTTGTTGCCTTTTCAATTTAATTAGTAATTAAAAAAACGATATAAAAATTTCAAAAAATGATACTTTTTACCAAAAAAAACATAATAATTTTAGTTTTGGTATTTTCTGCAGAAAAGTGCTTTATTAAATATCCCTGATATAATACTACTATAGTATTATACTGAACATCCAAAATAGCAAAATAGTTTAATAAATAATCAAAATATTAACAAAAAACTTACATTTTGAGATAATTGGGCAGAGCATTTTTTTACGCAATTATTTCGAATCCTAGACGTCCTGGAGCAAAACGAGTTGCATTTTTGAAATCAGCAGCCCAAAATTAAGTAATATAGGGGGCCGTACTCAATGTTAGTAATTCGAACTATCATAGTGTTATTTTTATTCAGACTGGCGCTCTCGAAGCTCAACACTTCCGCAAAACTGGCAAGCTGGTTTCTCTCAGCGAGCAAAATTTGATCGACTGCTCCACCAAGTACGGCAACAATGGATGCAACGGCGGCTTGATGGATAACGCTTTCAGATACATCAAGGAGAACGGCGGAATCGATACTGAGCAATCGTACCCATACAAAGCTGAGGACGAGAAATGCCACTACAAAGAAAGCAGCATTGGTATGTTGAATTTTTTTAAATCACAAATATATATCCCATGGGCCTTTCCATCTCAAATCGAGCAGGCAAAAAGGGGTAGGTCGTTATTTTTTAACGAAATTTTTTTTTACAGTTTCTCTACATTTTTACATTGCCAATTTTGACAATCTTTTTTACTTCATATTTTTTTCGTTTAAAGTTGATAATATGAACTACTTTTACCAAAAGTCCCGAGTTGGCTAAATTCGTCGTTTCGGAATAATTATTTTTTTAATCAAAATGAAATTTTTTAGTAAATTCGTGGTTTATCGGTATTTTATCTACTGGTCATGAAACTGGGGTGACCTTAATAAAGTGTAATTCAGAACTTTTTGACATATTTAACATATTTTTGTCACTTTTTATTTTTTAATGAAACACCCTAGCTTTTTTACATATTCACGATTTACGATTCAAAATAAAAATTCTGAATACATGTCATTTGTCAATTTTTAACAGGTCAAATGATTTTTTAATTAAATTTAATTTTTATATCTGTGCCTTGAATTGGCTTTTCTGCTTCAAGTAGTCTGAAAAAAAAAAACAATTCTATTATTTTTTAAAAAGCTGGTTTTTAGGAGCTTACAAAAATTGAAAAACATATTTTATGCAAAGATATAAAATATAAAAGAAACGAAATTTTTTAAATTTGATACCAAATATTAGTGCATTTTTTAATAATATCCCTTCAAACCAAAATTTTTCTGAATTGTTTGTGTTCTACATTTCTTTGAAATCGCGTTTTTATAAGTTTCTTGTGCTTTTAGTACATACTTTTAGGTATTTAATACTTATTTTTTATTATTTTAACCAAAATTAACCCACATATACTTTTTACATCTTTTAAAAGTAACACGTGCAATAATATTAGGAATTTACATTTTACTCTAAAATCTTTAATAATTTAATTTACTTACTTAAGAGTATTTCCGGTGAAACCGAAAGTGAAAAAAATATGTTAAATATCTCAAAAACTTCTAAATTACACTTCATATCAGTTTCATGAACCTAGATAAAAACCAAATTTTTGCGATGTACCAAGAATTTACTAGAAAATATCATTTTCATTAAAAAAATAATAATTTCGAAATGACGAATTTAGCCAACTCGGGACTTTTAGTGAAAGTTGTTCATATTATCAACGTCAAACGAAAAAAATATTAAGTAAAAAAAAATGTAACAAAGTCACAGTTTTGACCTCAATTTTTGTTGCCATTTTAGAAAAAAACAATAAAAAAAAAAAATAATAATAATAAACTTATTTTATTATATTTTTTTGAATGTAGTAAACATTTACCTACAATTTTAAAAAAATTGTTGTGATCGAAACATTTTTGACCAAGTTATCGCATTTTCAAGAAAAAATGTCACTCGTAAAAAGAGAAAAATCGATGTTTCTGTCCATTTTTCAAAAATTTCCCACGGGTAAACAAAACAAATTAAAGCAAAAAAAATACGGGTCTCATCGATTTCGGTAGAGAAACTGTAAAAAAAATTTCGTTAAAAAATAAAGACCTACCCCTTTTTGCCTGTTGTCTTAGTATCATGGGAAAGACCCATATACAGTTATTTTTTTTATTTGGATTCGTGTTTTTTTTAAGTTGGTAGCTTATGCCAGTTTGATTTAGTAATTTTAGTATTTCAAAAATAGTACTTCTGCTGAAGACCTTTATTAAATACTCTGACAATGTCAAATTGACAGTAATATTTATTATTGATAATTTACTTATTATATATTATCGATATAAAAAGATATCAGATTCGATAAAGTTATACCAAATGAATCAATGGCAGAAAAAATACATCGCCTTATGGACATTTGGGAGTAGAGGTTTTACAAATATTAAATCACACAATATTTTCAGCTAAGCAGATCAAAATTTTTTAAAATTTTAAAAAATAAGGGGAAATAAAAAAAACAAAAATAAAAATTATTTGCTGTTAGGTTCAACCTTTTTGTGAAAAATCTAGTACTTAATTTTCCTGTCTTTGAACATAGCATCCATTTGGTTTAAAAAAGATAAGCATTAATCACGAAACTTTTTCTTCTTTCGATTTGCAAGTTACTGATCATTAATAGTCCTGGACAATATATGGGTGATTCTACAAAAGTTGGGCAACTTTTGACCTCATTTTGTTTATATAGTTTTCGGAGAAAATTAAACCCTATTTTGTTATGAGAACATAGATAATATAATAAATATACTGTTCCAGACCGGGCCAGTCACTTTTTCAAACAGTTTCTGAAATATCTGTGTTTTCTAAATTTGAATGCAAGGGAAGTGACAAGTATACCAGGGTACTAATTAAATACATAATTTATTGAAAAATATAAAATTTATTGCAACTTTGAGCATATTATACATTAAATATCTTAAAATCAAATAATACCACACATTAGTGGCGGCTGGTGGATTTCGAGTATACCGATATCTCAATTATTAGATATGGGACCCACACCAAATTTATGAGTTTATAATGACATTAAATAAACAAATTCTGTGCAAGAAGAATTTAAATTGAAAAAGATAACCGAAACATCGAACATGGAACTGACGACACGGTACTGATGAATGGGATACAAATTTGAGATTATAATTCGGAATTAAGTATTTTACTGATATTTTTTATTAGTGGATGCTACTTATCAACAAATCACATATAGCCTTATATAAATTACAATGAAATATATATACGTAAGAAAATAACTACTCACCACAGTACTGAAATTTTGACTGGAACTATACGTGCATTCACCACAACTTCGCCGCTTGCATTTTTTTCAAGGTGACTGTCGTGCAAAGGGCAACAATTGAGTTAAAACGAGGACTTGACGTTTAAACTTCAATATTTCGCAGGAATTTTGAAATTTAACGTTGGACACAGAACTGATGGGTAAAAGTGAGTACAAAGATTATCAATTTATTCGAATCTATAATAAAATATGAAAAATATATTATTTAATGTTTTATAGTTTGTAGTGAAATTGGAAAATTTAAGGTAAATTGAATATATTTTAAAATAAAATCACTTATTAAATATTTGATTCAGGAGTTGTGACACGCCAAGGTACTGATGTTTTGAATATTTATTATGTTTTTCTACAAACGTGCTTTTGAAAAAATACATGAAAATTGGGTGGACAAGTTAAAAAAACCTGGATCTTTTGTAATATACTAAAATATTTACAAACAATATTAAAATACCTACTCTATTGACTGATGACATCAAGTTGTCCAACTTTTGTAGAATCACCCATACACATTATAATTATTATTAAGCCACGACAAAAAAAATTAACTCTATAATTGAGGTGCATCCGTGCAAAACCGGCTATATCCACTTTAATAAAATGTTGGGAAAATGGCAAAAACTCTCAGTTTTCGGCCTTTACAGATAAAAGAAAAAGCAAACTTGAGTTTTGTGGGCTTTGGAGTACTTGATTTATAAGACATACTTTAGTTTTCAAAAACTTTTTATTAAGGCCAAAATTTCAAAAAATGTTTTGGATATAGCCGGTTTTGCTCAAAAACCGAATATAATGTGAAAAAAAAACCTTTATTATTCAAAAATAAATTTAGTGTAAACATGAAAAATCAGAACAAATTTTAGTAGTAGTATCGACATATTCAAGCCACATGCTCATCATCATTATTATTTATTGGATATAGCCGGATTTGCTATAAAAACGTGGATTAGGCCGGTTGGATATAGTTGGATTTAAACAGAATTATCTTGGTTGTCGATAGAAATAAACCCAAAGATGCGAAATCAAAAAAAAGAAAACAAACTGAATAAAATGGATTTAGCCGGTTTTGCACGGATGCTCCTCAATTGTATTCAAGCTTTTTTTATTGCTTTCGTGCTCTTTCGATCAGTGTATTCTAAAGGAAGTTGCAAACTGATTTCTTTTAGGAGCCACCGATCGCGGTTTCGTCGACATCGATTCCGGAAGCGAGGAGCAGCTTCAAGCCGCCGTGGCCACGATCGGGCCGGTCTCGGTGGCCATCGACGCCAGCCACGAGACCTTCCAACTCTACTCCGAGGGAGTCTACTACGACGCCGAGTGCAGCTCCACCGAGCTGGACCACGGCGTCCTGGTGGCCGGATACGGCACCGACGACGACGGCCAAGACTACTGGCTGGTCAAGAACTCGTGGGGGCCGTCGTGGGGCCAAGGCGGCTACATCAAGATGGCCAGGAACCGCAACAACACCTGCGGCATCGCCACTCAAGCCAGTTACCCCGTGGTTTAATTGTTATTGTTCTTAGGTTTAGGTTTCGTGATATGCCAATGGATTCAATACTGGCTGTGTTCCATTAATACGGTTGATTGTATGTGTAATTACGTGTGAAGCAAATAAAAGGATTTTTATAAGTTTTATTTTTTATTATTTAAAAACCGTCATATTTCAGGTTTCTAAATATTTAATTGACATTCTAACATCACAAATATCACCTTCCACTATAAGTGATGGTGTGCCTCAAGGATCGCTTTTGGGACCTGCATTGTTCCTGGTATATATAAATGATATACATCCCAAGATAATGAACAAAATATAAAGTCATGTCAATTGTAATTCTCCTAAAATCAACACCAACTTTGTAAGTCTGCAGTTTTGTTTATTTTTCACCCAATTTAAAAAATAATTATATCAAATGTTATATAATTTCAAACACTTTGAGAAAATGTAAATATATTATTATGTCCCAAAACTAATTTTTCTAGATTTTCAACAAAATATAAACGCGTGTCAATTTTAATTCGTTTAAAATCAACACCAACTTTGGAAGACAGTAATTTTGTTATTTTTACCCTATTTAGAAAATAATATATCAAATGTTCAGAAAATGTAGATATCTTAATATGCCCCAGTACAAATTTTTAAAAATTTTCAACAAAATATTAAGTCGTCTCAATTTTAGTTATCTTAAAATCAACATCAACTTTGGAAGTTTCCTTAATTTTTACCCAATTTAAAAAATAATTATATCAAATGTGAGATAATTTTATTTACTTAGGGAAAATCTAAGTATTGTTTTATGCTTCAGTACTAATTTTTAAGATACTTAAAAAATATAATCTGGTTAATTGACACATTTTCTTAAAATTTTGGAAGTTAATAAAACGATTATTAGAAATTTAGGTTTTTAACTTTATTTTAAAAAAAATGTTCCTACAGCTTCATTTATACTTTTAAAGCCAACTTTCTTTAAAAGTGGCTGTTCCATTAATACGATTTATTGTATGTGTAATTGCGTGTGAAACAAATAAAAGGATTTTTATAAGTTTTTATTTTTTTATTATTTAAAAACCTTCATATTTCAGGTTTCTAAAATTTTAATTGACATTCTAACATCACAAATATCACCATCCACTATAAGTGATGGTGTGCCTCAAGGATCGCTTTTGGGACCTGTATTGTTCCTGGCATATATAAATGATTTACATCCCAAGATAATAAACAAAATATAAAGTCATGCCAATCGTAATTCTCCTAAAATCAACACCAACTTTGTAAGTCTGCAGTTTTGTTATTTTTCACCCAATTTAAAAAATAATTATATCAAATGTTATATAATTTCAAACACTTTGAGAAAATGTAAATATATTATTATGTCCCAAAACTAATTTTGGTAGATTTTCAACAAAATATAAACGCGTATCAATTTTAATTTGTTTAAAATTAACACCAACTTTGGAAGACTGTAGTTTTGTTATTTTTTACATAATTTAAAAAAATAATATATCGAATGTTAGATTATTTCATACATTTTGAGAAAATGTGGATATCTATATAGGCCCCAGTACAAATTTTTGGAGATTTTTAACAAAATATAAAGTCGTCTCAATTTTAATTCTCTTAAAATCAACATGTTGATATCAACCGACGACGACGGCTAAGACTACTGGCTGGTGAAGAACTCGTGGGGGCCGTCGTGGGGCCAAGGCGGCTACATCAAGATGGCCAGGAACCGCAACAACACCTGCGGCATCGCCACTCAAGCCAGTTACCCCGTGGTTTAATTGTTATTGTTCTTAGGTTTAGGTTTCGTGATATGCCAATGAATTCAATACTGGCTGTGTTCCATTAATACGGTTGATTGTATGTGTAATTACGTGTGAAGCAAATAAAACGATTTTATAAGTTTTTATTTTTTATTATTTAAAAACCTTCATATTTCAGGTTTCTAAAATTTTAATTGACATTCTAACATCACAAATATCACCGTCCACTATAAGTGATGGTGTGCCTCAAGGATCGCTTTTGGGACCTTGTATTGTTCCTGGCATATATAAATGATTTACATCCCAAGATAATAAACAAAATATAAAGTCATGCCAATTGTAATTCTCCTAAAATCAACACCAACTTTGGTAAGTCTGCAGTTTTGTTATTTTTCACCCAATTTAAAAAATAATTATATCAAATGTTATATAATTTCATACACTTTGAAAAAATGTAAATATATTCCCAGCAAACCAAATCATGTCACAGTGATATAACATTTACATAAAAATTGTTCCTTACTATGCAACAGCTATGTCACCTATATGTAATGGCAATGCTCCTATGTCCGCCTCAAGACGCCTTCCTGGGTATTGTAACTGTGATGTAACACTGTTTTATCATAGTTATGTAACTGTAATGTTACAGCGCCATATCAGTTATGTAACAGTGATATAACATTTACATAAAAATTGTTCCTTACTATGCAACAGCTATGTCACCTATATGTAATGGCGAATGCTCCTATGTCCGCCTCAAGACCCCTTCCTGGTATGTATCTGTGATGTAACAGTGTTTTATCATAGATATGTAACTGTAATGTTACAGCGCCATATCATAGTTATGTAAACGTGATAAAACAATTATATTCTATTTGAAATATTTACATATTATTTATGAAATATTTATAAATATAATTTCATGTAATATATTATCTTACTGGTATTAAAAATTTCTTAGCCCTAACTTGTTATGATGGCAAATTTTTTGAAAAAAAAAATCAACAAAATTTTAAAAATTGCCGATAATACCAAATTAGAACTAAGAAATTGTTAATGCCAGTTAGATAATATATTAAATAAATTATAAATAAATATTACATAAATAATAAGTAAACATTACAAAAATAAATGATTCTGAAAGAGATTAAAAAAAAACAAATTGGTTAAATGTTTATTAAAAATTATTTTAATAAAAAAAAAACAAATCATTTCTTCTTTCTAACTTCTTAAAACAAACGAAAAGTTTTTCCAAAGAAAAAAAAATCCCAAATACATTATTACTTCAAAGCTAAAAAATATATATAGGCCCTAGTATAAGGGTATACCAAATCTTTTTTTGGCCTGCCGGAACCATTCGGAAACTATGCCTTCCAAATTTTTGTCTGTCGAAGTGCACACAGCAGCTTAAAAAAATTTATTTAATAAAAAATCCCCATAAAATTTACATTTTTACCCTTCAATATTTCAACAGATTTTAAATTTTGAATTTTATTGTTGTTTCTTAGCCCCAGCCTAAGAGAAATCTTTTGCCAAATTATTTGAGAAGATTTTCTTTAAAACTCTTACTGTGGCATCTTTCTCTGAGACGCCTCCAATTTTTGTTATATACTGAAACTGAAAAAAAATACAGTTTAATATTATTTTTTGTTTATTGATTTGTTTTCAAAACAAAGAACAACTATTCTTTATGTAGTTATGTAAATGATATTTGGTACAAATAATAATTTGTTTTGATTTTATTTATTCAAGTCAAATGCACCCTGCAACCTTATAAGAGATATAAAAATAATGAAAAATATGGGAATTTGCATAAAAATTAATTGTCACAACAATTATAATAAAAAAAGTTGGTTATTTAGCAAAATTATTGTATCTTTTAAGTACCAGTTGAAAAAACAGTATAAACTTAAAAAAATATATAGAAATTAAACTCTTATTTTGGCTACCAAATATCATTAAAATTATAATTTGTCGCTTGTTTTTTAGCACCCTGTTTTAAAAACAAATTAACATTATTAAACAGGTTTAAAATCGCCCTTTATATACTTACAAATTCAGCCTCTACTTCTTTTTGCAATAATGTTTTCTCAAAACTTTTAACAGATCATTAATAAAAAGTTGACTAGGTAGGTATCTATTACACAAATCTTGCAAATCTTCCACAAAAGTATTGGAATTTTTCCTATTGACCTCCTGAATATTCTCCGAAATTTTCTGTAAAAATATTTTTATTATATGTTTATTTATTGGCTGGTTAGGGAAAGATAATACCTACTTACTTCGGTTTTAGCCTCAGTATATTTCCACATTGTCTTGGTATTTTCTATACAATTTCTTACCTCCACGCCCATTATTTTGAGATCTGCATTAATTCTCCTCCGCTTTTGCCTCCGGATAGGGAAATATATTTTTTTTCTATTTTTGTCTTCCATTTTATTATAAAAAAATGGAATCAAAACTTAGCTTAACTTAAAACACAATAGAGAGCACTCGACACAACCGTTTTAAACGAGTTCGTTAGTAAGATAAAAAGGCTATATAAATACTATAAAACATTAATATATAACATTTATATATCATTGTTACAATGTAGGTATAAAACATTGTTATATAGCCATGACATAATAGGGATGTAAATATAACAAGAAGGGATCATTTTGATATAACTATTATATTAAAATTTTTATTATAATTATGTAACAAAATAAAGAAAAACTATGTAAATACCATATAATAAGGTTATATGGATACTATAAAACATTGCATATATCAATGATGTATCATTGTTCCATTGTAGATATATAACATTGTTATATGGCTGATACATAAGGGGGATGTAAATATAACAAGTGGGGAACATATTTATATAAATGTTATATTACTATGTTTTATCATAATTATGTAACAAAATAAATAACTAATATGTAAATGTTATGTAAACAATTTTATATGGCAATGTTCTTTGTTAGTTATATCATGGTTATGTAAATGGAACAGCCTGGTTTGCTGGGTTATTATGACCCAATACTATTTTTTCTAGATTTTCAACAAAATATAAACTCGTGTCAATTTTAATTCGTTTAAAATTAACACCAACTTTGGAAGACTGTAGTTTTGTTATTTTTTACATAATTTAAAAAAATAATATATCAAATGTTGAATAATTTCATACATTTTGAGAAAATGTGGATATCTATATAGGCCCCGGTACAAATTTTTGGAGATTTTCAACAAAATATAAAGTCTCAATTTTAATTCTCTTAAAATCAACATGTCGATATCAACCGACGACGACGGCTAAGACTACTGGCTGGTCAAGAACTCGTGGGGGCCGTCGTGGGGCCAAGGCGGCTACATCAAGATGGCCAGGAACCGCAACAACACCTGCGGCATCGCCTCTCAAGCCAGTTACCCCGTGGTTTAATTGTTATTGTTCTTAGGTTTAGGTTTCGTGATATGCCAATTAATTCAATACTGGCTGTGTTCCATTAATACGGTTGATTGTATGTGTAATTACGTGTGAAGCAAATAAAAGGATTTTTATAAGTTTTTATTTTTTATTATTTAAAAACCTTCATATTTCAGGTCTCTAAAATTTTAATATTGACAACTAAAGTTACAATTAACATTCTAACATCAGAAATATCACCATCCACTATAAGTGATGGTGTGCCTCAAGGATCGCTTTTGGGACCTGCATTGTTCCTGGCATATATAAATGATTTACATCCCAATATAATAAACAAAATAAATTCATGTCAATTGTAATTCTCCTAAAATCAACACAAACTTTGTATACAGTATAAGTCTACAGTTTTGTTATTTTTCACGCAATTATATCAAATGTTATATAATTTCATACACTTTGAAAAAATGTAAATATATTATTATGACCCCCCTGGTAGAAAATAACGTTTGCATACATTCAGACAACGTTGCAAATTTGTATAATAATTTGTTATACTCATAACGTTGTCTTAGTGTATCATTTTAAGTGGAAAATACGTAGTTAAAACGTTGTCTTGGAAACGTTATTTTAATGTATGATTTTAAGTGGGAAATACGTAGTTAAAACGTTGTCTTGGAAACGTTGCAGAATTGTATTGCTGGAAACGTTGCAGCAACGTTCCAAATCCCACGTTTAGATACATAAAATTATTTCTAAGTCCCGACGAAAATTTTTCAATGAGGATTTTTTTTTTAATTTTTATACTTTATTATACATTATTTATAAAAGTAAAATAAAACTCTTCAATTCATTTTCAAAGTCATAATATCAAAAATATGAGCGAAATACACAAAACCCACTTTCAAACAACGTTGCAGAATTGTATTGCTGGAAACGTTGCAACAACGTTCCAAAACCCACGTTTGGCTACATAAAATTTTTTCAAAGTCCCGACGAAAATTTTTTTACTGAGGATTTTTTTTCAATTTTTTTTTATTATACATTACTTATAAAA